GTCTTGCTGAAACATGTCTTAAGATCAACTTCCTATTATTCCTGATTAAAACTTTTTACAGGAAAAACAGTAATTATATGCCTATAGCCTCTAGTATTACAAGCAGAGGGATCACTCAGTTAACAATTCTTGTATAAGACCTACCATACACTGTGAATCAAATGCTAACATGATAGTCCTACCATCTTTACTACTACTCTCTAGGGGCTTGCATAATATTCAAAAGACTCCTAGAAGGTGCAACCTAAAATGCAAACCCAGCTCTTGTGTTTCCAAAGCCGCCTTACAGTTGCATTTTACCTTTTATCATTAACTTCACATCAACATATGTATTTCGTAATTCACAGTGATGAGTAGAGAGCATTAACCTGCAGTTATACACAAAGCTTGGATACAGTAACTCAAAGACCCAGAATTACAATTCCAAGTCAGCCAAAAGTCTTATTTTATACCTAACTGAAGAAAAACCACCACATCTAAACAGCCAGTGACGTGTCCAAAGAGATTGTCAACTGCAGGATGTTTTAAGTAGTCTGCAGGTCGTTCAGAGTAGTTCATGGTTTGAAAATGTTCAAGCTCAGCTTTGCCAATCTTCCATGCATGAACTTTATTAGCAAAAGAGAAAGCTTCTCACATACCTAGTTTCTTCAGCATTTTATCACTCAGATTCTCAGAGCACAGTTAGCATATTTTCAGAGAAGGTGATTTTCAACAGTTATTTTTACAGGTAAGAGCTCCTGAAGTAAAGGTACTTTGACTTGCATTCTTTACTCCCCTCCCCATTTATTTACCAAGTGTTTAACCACAAGGTCTCCAAAAATGCTTTCCAACAAGTTTTAAGTGGAGAAGATAAAAAGAGGTTTAGTAACAACAGAGATTTAAACCCCAAATCCTAAAGTGCATGAGATCTTCTCACCTCTTCCAATGCAAGACAGATGAACATGAATTCATCTGTCCAAATATTAGACATAAGAAAACCAGGTGAATCAATGTCTGCACTTGTGCATTTTTGTTATAACAAAAAATGGAAGACACTAGATAAACCAAGTTTGTCATAAGCAGCAGTCACTGTTACCAGCTGATTTGAAGCTAAACTGCTGAGCAAGTGAAACAGGACAGCTTTGGAGGCTGAGACCATCTGAAGTCTTAAAATCAACTACTCAAGTAATTGATAAAGTGTTTGAATAACCAAATTACTCAAGTGTCCACATAAAACATAGAAAGACTCTTTCAGAGTTGTTAGCAGAGCAAAGAGAGCATCAAGAAACTTCTTCATTAGACTTTGCTAGTTACTTTTCAATCAATCACACGCATAAGCAGCCTCGGGTCAAGATGTGCCCCTGTACATCCACAAATCATATCCCTCCCTCCCCACTCTCCAAAACCTGGAAGCCTATGAACTGCAAGAATTTAGTGAGAAACACCGAGGAAAAAAATGTTGTTATCCCAAAATCATAAAAGCATTCTTGGTGACTGTTATTTTCTCCTGCTTAACAGCTTTAATGGAACACTAAGCTGAAGATAAAAGGGACACGGTTTAGTGGGTGACATTAGTAGTAGGGGGATGGCTGGACCAGACAATCTTGAAGGTCTTTTCCAACCTTAATGAGTCTATGATTACATTGCCCTTATCTGCATTTAGCACTCCAGTGGTATGCACCAGTACCTGACCGTCACACACCCTACAGCGTGACAACTCATCTAGCACAGCCTTCACAATCCTTATTAGGTCTTTCCAAGGCGCAGAACGCTCGGACGTGGCATGTTGCGAGAAGTACTACGTGATGCTGCAGCACATACTTCACCAGGAACACAGGCTCTGGCCTCCCCTTGCCTCACGGAAAGGACAACCTGTCTATCGTTTCCCAGCCTCGTGCTAAATCAAGCCCACGGAAGCCACAAAGATGCAAACAAATTTAGTTAAACAGTTGCAACTTACAGTTTTCTTGCTTTGCTTTTATTACAACCCTGTTTGTTTTTCCTTTCTCTTATGTACTTCTCCCTCCCGTGCCTCAGCTTTATTAATTTCCTTCCTGCGCCATGTAAATTGAAGTCCTCACTAGGTCTCTTCCGTTTGCTCTGTTGTCACAGCTCCTCTCCCACACCTTCCTGAATCTGTAATACACCTTCCTTTCTAGCAGACCTTCTCCCCACCTGCCCTTCCCCCAGCCGTCTTTCCTTATTGTTCTCACACTACTTCACATATAAATTTAGGATGCTTCTAGCACACAGAAGCTAGCTTATGACATTCACCACAAAATAAAAAATAAAAAAGGGGGTTACAAAACTGGTTTGAAGTTTATTCCATACCTGCCTTCTACTCTACAGGGGCTACAAGCTGATGAGGGACGGAGGGATGTAACAGCAGGAGTGGAAACGAGATAAAATAAAGCTAAAGAGTAGAAATAAAAAGCTGAACTCTCTTAGGAGAAACCAAGTGCATTGCTAAGACTGCTCCTCACAACCAAAAGCATATTTCTTGAAACTAAAGGAACTCCAGCATTTTAAGCCTGTATGTATAGAATATCAGATGCTGAATTTAAAGCATCTGTGCAATAGATGCTTTCTGTCAGCCATACGTTACAGCTCCGATGAGTTACCTAACACCATTGCTGAGAAGTGAAAAAGTAAAACCAATTCACGCCTTTACTGAAAAGAAAAAGGGTGTTAAGATTTTAAAGATGTTATAAAATCAGATAAACATTTTCATTGACTCTTATTGTATAAACTTGTTTTTGTTTCCTTTGTATTTGTACTGGGCCAAGAGACTGAGAAGTTTCCTTAGCCTGCGGAGGAGGGGTCATCTTAAAAGATACTTCAGGTGCAGATCAATTACATCTACACCTAAGCATTTCTTCCTTTAAAACATACCCAAACAGACTGTAATAATTTAATAGACACTTTATATCTTGAGCTAAGAGTTACACCGATAGTGTGAATCTCACCACACAGTGGTATAAAATACTTAAACTCTTTAGAAGGGGTTTCATACTTCAATTCTGCAGAAAGAGCCCTAGAACTGATGAGAGATCAAAGTCCAGCCAGAAAGTGATACAGTGACCAAACACACACAAAAGCAACCTAATAGCTGATGATTTTTTTTTTTTTAGAATATGCACCATGTTTGTTGTAAAAGAACATTACCTGTAACTAGGGCTAACAAAAAATAATTCTGATTGCTGTAACGTAAGAAGCTGCCTTTAAAAGAATACTCAAAGGTATGCCAAAAATCCCAGAAAATTTCTAAAGTCTCTTTTTAAAGGACATTCTTAAGATCTGAGAGGCAAACATATTCTAAAGCTTAACACAAGCATGACAGGAAGCATCCCAACAAGTTCATTCCCAAAATGACTACAGCTTAGCTCCAAATTCTGACTAAAGCAACAGAAAAGGGCCAAACCCTTAAACTGATTAAAAGATCACGGAGTACAGGTAAAAAAAATACTACCAACTGCATGCCTGATATCTGAAAGCTCATTAGTACTGCTGTAGGAAGGCCCCCCTGAGGTATCGCCAGCATCAACACACATACTAGGAAATAGAGTTGTGGTTAATGTAAAAACTCTGGCCTCTTAATTCATTTTATACCCTTGACTTCTGCCTATAGAGGCCGGGTGTAATAGAAGATTTGACAGTGCTGTCCTAAGTCATCAGAACTGACAAAGTATACCCTAAGCATCAGATCTGTTCTCATTAGCTGTGGCTCAAAGATGAAAGATATGTAAACTAGATCAAAAGCAGCAAGTTAACTGGAAGATGCAGCGCGCTTTCCTTAGCAGCAACAACATCCGTGAGGCCCTGCTTTTACCCAGGGAGGGAGTTTGAACCTGTCAACACCTCCAAACATCACAAATCAGTAAAAAGCTAGACAGAGTACACACTGTCATGCACTTATGCAGTCTTCCATGAGGTTCTTTTCACCTCTCCACTGCTTTAGGCTTACATGAGCTATCTGGTAAAAGCTGTATAGGGGAAGACTAAAAATGACTATTAGGAAGCATCTCCACCTCTCACTCCCCCCATAACAGGGGAGTTCATCCTAGGCACCAATTCAATTTACTTGTTCTCTTTGTGACAGCAATAGGTGGGGAAGAAGGGGACCCAGCTACACACTTCCGAATTTGTATCACTTCCTACAAAGAAAAGAAATTCACTGGTTTGGCATAAAAGAATTACACTTTCCTACTTAAGGATATCTCTAGGCGTATCAAGGTACCCATCTGCATCCCAAATAAATCGACTGGATTTGGCAGACACTTTGGCAAGGTATTTTTTGTAATCAGAACTAAAGTACCACTCACTTTTGTGCAAGCAACTGTCAAATGGTATTGGTTTTGTGTCAGGAAGTGTTGTGTTTTGCTTCCTTATGATGCAATTACAACACTGACAGCATTGCAGAGAGCCACTGAACCATCAGGTATGATCACGTAAGGAGCCAATTAGCAGGCAATTGTCCACCCAGCACACCAACTCTTTTGATATGCATTTAACCCCTCTGCCGTGACTATCGTGCCACCTGCAAGGGTGTATTAATCTTTCAGCTGTATTTTACGTGGCATTAGTGCTTGCCAACGTCTACGCTAAAAAGGAAGCAGTCAGTGCTGCAGTGCTTAACCACAACATGAGAGGACTTCGCTCTTAGAAGGGGTAAACACTTTCAGACAGGGAATTGGTAACAAAGCTATTTACAGTCGTTTGCTCGCACAGGGGACTGGCACTGAGGAATTACAGCTTTGCACAAAGCGTCCGCTGGTGTCGGTGAAGTAGAGAAAGGTGCACGAAGTGAGAGGGATGACAAGCCTGAGGCAGGACCAGGCGAGCTCGTCCTTGGCATGAAATCCACTCTCCCTCGCAGAGAACTTCACGCGCCCATAGCTCAACGCTGAGTAAACAACACACCAGCGCAGAGTGCAGCAGTGACTCAGCCAGCAGCCGGAGATTCAGTCCCACAGGGTAAGAAATTTGGGGCGGACGGCTGCGGGGATGAGCTCCCTACTCACCAGCAAGCAGTCCACGTTCACCTCGGACTTGGGGTCCTTTAGAGTCACGTCGATTTTTTCGAACCGCGCCTCAAAACTCTCCCCCGTCGACATGTTTCCAGGGATTGGAAAGGTCCCCTTTATCCCAGAGCAAAATAAGGTTAAAAATAAAAGAAAAAAAAAAGGAAAAAAAGAAGAGGAACACGCACAAAAGAGAAGCCGCGCAGCCCAGGCCGGGCTGGGGCGCGCTCCCTGCGGGCTCCCTTCAGTCCGTGAGTCCCTGAGGCGAGGGGGGCTGCTCCTGCTCCTGCTCCCGCTCCCCGGGGCGCCTCAGCGCCGTGCAGCCGCAGGTTTCCTCTCCCTGCCTCCTCTGCTCGGGCCCCGCTGCCTCAGCAGCCGCATCCTGCCGGCCGGGGAAGGCGCCCTGAGAGCCAGCGTAGCGGTTCTGGCTGCTGCTGCTGCTTTCTTCCTCCTCCTCCTCTTTTTCTTCCTCCTCCTCCTCGTCGTTGTCGTCGTCGTCGCCCCGCAGCAGCAGCAGCAGCCGGCGGCGGGTCGGTGCCAGCGTCCCGAGGGCGGCAGCTCTCCCTCCTCGCCACCGCCACCACCACCACCACCACCAAAGGGAGGGAAGGTGCAGAAAGCCACGAGCCTGCAGGGAATAAAAAAACGAGAAAAAAAAAAATAAAAATAAGAATAATAAAAGAGGGAGGGAGCGCTGCGCCCCCGCGGGTGCCGGGCGGGGAGGCGGCTCACCTCACGGCGCGGCGGCCGCCAACATGTCCGCCTTCCTGTTTGAACGGGGGGGGGCGGCTCGGCCAGCACGGGCCGGCGGCGCGCATGCGCGGCGCTGCCCCCCTGAGGGGAAGGGGAGGCGTGAGCGCGCCGCTCAACGGTCGGAGGGGGCGCGCGCGGCACGGGCCGTTAGGGGTAGGGGCGGTTAGGGGCGGGGCGGTTGTGCTTTCCTCTCCCTCCCTCCCCCACACACACACACACACACACACAGCGCCTTCAGGTGTTAAAATGGCCAGCGCCTTGCTGTAAAGATCGCTGGAAGCGGTGTGGGGCGGCAGCTAGCTGGCTGCGTTCAGAACAGAACAAGAAACAGCATTCTACCTTTTGCCTTTTTTGTCCACAAGTGCCTTCATATATACATACACATATATATATACACACACATATCAGAGACTCATTAAGGTTGGGAAAGATCTCCAAGATCACCTGGTCCAACCACTAGTTTCATTTACCTGAAAGCCTCATTTTCTGCTATGTTACACAAAACTATGTTGATGATTTATTTGACACAGGTACGTTCATTAGGTCCAACAAAGTAATATGCATATATAGCAATGTATATTGTATAAAACAGCAAATAGAGAATCACAGAATCATTAAGAAAAGCCCTCTAAGATCATCAGGTCCAACCATCCTCCTACCACCAATGTCACCCGCTAACCCATGTCCCCAAGCACCACGTCCAACCTCTCCTTGAACACCCCCAGGGACGGTGACTCCACCACCTCCCTGGGCAACCCGTCCCAGTGCCTGACTGCTCTTTCTGAGGAGAAATGGCTCCTCATATACACATACATATATATTTATAAGAATTACGTACACTTAAAGGGAAAATGCATGCTGTAACCGCGTTATGCTCATGTTTGCTTTCCCTCGCCTTGTGCCGGCCATTTCCACAGCCCTTAGATTGGGAGGGTTTGGTCGCTCTTGGAAATGGAGATGCTCCATTTCAACAACCACTGTCCGCAGAGAACATCCCGTGTGCTCCGCCAGCTACAGCATTAGGTCTTGTAATCACTCTGTATGCCATGCAGTGAGTTGTCCTTGAAATGCAAAGGAAATGCTCCTTACAGACCTGATATCAAACAAGGTGAAAATCACTATTAGAGATGCAGAGCCTGATTCGCATCGCTTTTAGGCATCTGGTTTAACCATTAAACATACACAGGTATGATGCCAGGCCTCAGCAGGGTGATTCCAAGCCCCTAGCTGAAACAATGCAAAATTCATGAGGCCTGTAATAGAGAAAGGAAGAGGAGGCCTGAACCCGCAGCTCACAACCCTGAGTCATGCTCCAGATGCTGCTTATGAGTTTTGTCCAATGCATACGTGAAAATATATAGGTGGTCTTGGAAACACAAAACTTCTTCCATCCTTTCCAGGCCTCCTTTCCACAAAGCAATATGGATCGTGCCCCCTCTTGCCGAATGCATCTTGCATCACTTTTTTACAGTGGCCCAGCTTTAACAAAACTGCCCAGTACCTCCTCAAGCGATTTTGGTGAGGGAAGCTGCTGTGCTTGTGCTCAGCTGCATGCAAACAGTGTATTTTGAGCATGGCTATCGGATTGGGCTTTTCTCACGAGCATGGTAAAGTAAAAATGTCTGTCTGTCTGCCTCAAAATGCAGTAGAATTTGCGTGGGAGGTGCCTCAGCCAGCTGTCTAGGAAACTGTGAGCACTGCTTTGAAAATGTCAAGGGGAGCAAAAGGGAAAATAAAGTCTAATTTTAAAAACAGTTAGGGGTTAAAAGTGTCTGGTGAGATAAAATGCTCATGTTGTAACTCCAGAGTGTAATCTAATAGTTACTAATCCGGTGAACACTCATTCACGTTTGCTCTTGAAACATATTTTCATGAGCTGCAGTCAGACTATTTGTATCTTTATGATAAGGAACTTGCGTATTTCTAGCTTTGGACACTTAGGAACCATCTGAAGTTCCATCCTAGATAAGCAGTCATAATGCATTGAACACAATGTCTTACTTTGTTTTTGCTTCCGGATAACAAATAAACTAAAAATGGATAATTTCTTCTTCCTGCGTTTGTTGCGTCCCAGATTTTGGAATTTAGCTAGCTTTTGTTGAGTGAAATGGCAATTACTCGACACATGTTTCACCTGATAACGCTGAGCTGATTAAGCTTGCAAGCCTGAAAGATCTTTTTTTCTCTCTTCAAAAGCAGGCAGCCTCTGATACGGGAAGGTGTCTCTGCGTTGGCTCGTGTCCATGCTTTGTACACAGACAAACTGATTTCCTCAATAAAACAGGAATCATAGTCCTCGCATGCATGTTATCTGCCTATTTTGTAAGATATTTAAATGCCTCTGTTATTAGTGTGATACAAATATGTGCAAAATTTCACAAACGTGTCAAATATGACAAATATTGAAAATTATGTCAAATTGACACTGACTTAAGAGCTGATTGCTTGACAGAGATCACAGTTTCCTATTAAATACAAAAGTCAGTAAAACAATTACCACATTATACAATAAAAAATACGTGTAATAGCATTTATCACATAAATAACATTCTTGTACTCTACAGTAATAGGACTTCAAATCATAGCAGGTTTCAAGGTCACTTTCAGGACATTAGCAAAAAGCAAGAGCAAAACAGCAGTGGAGTACGTGGCAAATATTAGCGGGGCCCTCTCTGAGCAGGCACCGTGACTCCCCACACTGTCACAAAAAGAGCTAGGGACGACTAAGTGAGAGACCCCGTAGTAAGGTTAAAGGCCATCTTGATTTCGATTTCTTAGGTTGCCGACTGTGCGTCTTTAAAAAGAGTACACCCACAGAAAGCGAGAGAAGGCGAGGATTCGCTAACTTCTGATGTAAGTACTGACTTCAGAAGAGTTACACAAGGCAGAAATAAGTCCACATCCTGTTCACCATATTAGGCCAAGTTGGTAACGTGGGATCTACCTTCACATTCAACTTCCTATTTAGTCAGCACGAAACCTGCAGCAGTTAAATCATGCTACTTGAAGCCTGCCTTTGGTCCACCACCCTTTTTCCTTGTTTGCCATACAATATTGACTCAGGTTTGCCTCAGCTCTAGTCTTCAAGGCACTGAATGGTGTGGGCCAGTATCTCTTGAAGCTGAGTTGAAGGCTGTGGACAGCACACAGAGTCCTTAAGCAAATCATTTTGACAAACTGTGCACCAGAAAGGCCTTTGACAGGCGCTCTCAGTATTTCAAGCAAGGACTGGTGGCACGTCAGTGTATCTGAACTGCCCTTAGGTAATGACAAAGTCACACCAACACTGAGCTCTGTGTACCTGCAAAATCTGAAAAAAGGCTGCGCTAGGTGGCGAATGCTGGTAGCAATAGTAGCTGGAGGCTAACCAAAAGCTCCAGTCACACTGCTGGCCGCAAGTCTTCCCTTGCAGGCTGCATGCTGGAAAAACTGAAGGAATTACGGACTGTAGGTTAGAAGTGCGAGATGCTTGAGGTAGTGAGCACATTAAAAAGTGGCACCAATGGGAGTGAGAAAACCGAGAAGTGACAGATATTAGTCGTACTTAACACTTAGTACAGGAGGAAAAGGCATTTTGGTTCTTCCAGGATGAGGAAAAATGTAGGAAGTAGAACAGAATACAAATAGAATAGAATAGAAATTTCCTGGACAATAAAAATTGCTAGCAAGAAGAGACAAATTTGAATATAATCAATCAAAAGAGAATTTGGCTTGGATATACTCAACCAAAGTACTATCTTTCAAACCTCTGTAGATGCTGAAACCTTGCAGTATATACCTATATAGACAAGTACATGCCATTAATGTTAATAAAGATGGAGGGCTCCAGGCACATGACCTGGCAGATTCTGATGTGTCCCAGCTCCTGGACAAAGTTTCCTGCTCTTTCCTCTTCCAGCACCGTGCACCTCCAGGCACAGCGGCACTTCTGCTTTGAGCTTAGCACTGGAAATCTGGGGATAAACCGGGGAGAACCTGCTCCTGCAGCCTGCATGTGGTGAGTGATGAATAAGAAACAGGGCACCTGGATCTTTCTTGGCTTCTCTTGAACGAGCTAGAAAAAAAAATCACCTTTTGGAAATTTTGCAGTGTCCTGGTGTGGGCCACTGAAAACGAAGCGTTGCAAACCGGGAAGTGAACTGGATGGGATCGTCTTCTGCAGTGCAAACACAGATGTGTCTGCTGCCAGCAGACAAGGGCATGGTTGTATAAACAGCTCCACGTAGACCCTCCCAAAGCAACTTGTGCTGCATCTGGAAAGGAGGGGAGCTGTGAGCCCGGAGAGAGATAGCAATCCACAGGGTAAATATCTGGTCACCAGATGGCTCAGGCCAATATCAACCGCGAATGCGTATGCAGCGTAGGCTCCCTGTGCTTTTATGCTTTAAAAGCACAGAAAAAATACTGTGACCAATGTATGGCAAAAGCTCACAAAGCGATTTTAAATCAAATCAAAACAAAATTCCACTGGAATGCTGAAAGCTTCATACCTCAATAAGGACTATTTCCGTGGCAAATACTGTTTTCCCACTGAAGCCACTTGGTGGGTACAGAAAACGTTAAGATGCCAGAAATTCTTCTTCTGCCCTGGGAAAAAAGCTTTTTTATTTTCACTGTCCTGGAGCTTAAAAATGGCCCAAGTACTTTGTGCCTGAAATCTTCAAAAACCCAAACAAACTCAACTCTCAGTCCAAACAAACAAACAAACAAAAACAAAAAACACACATGGAAAGCTTTAGCCTGAAAAAATGGTTTCAGAAAATTAGGATTATATTAAAGCAGGAGCTAAAAAATAATCTCTTCATGGTATCATCTATCAGGGTTTTAAACAACAGGGAATTATTTGTATCTTTTTATTTCCAGTATACGTAGAGTGATTACAGTCATTATAGACCTCTTTGTAGATTAAGCTATCATGAGTCTGACTTTCTGCTATTAATTTGTTAGCTATGAATCATCTACAAGATTAAGAATTGTTCTTCCTATTTCCTCAGTTCTTACTCCTAAGCTCTGTCCCAGAACAATTTTCTCTCACCCCACCTTATTCCTACTTCACCCACATACACATATCACATTTCCTGTGGCTGGATTTGTTCTGCAGTCCTTAACTGAAATTGTTCTTCTGAAGGCAATAGTTGAAAAGTAAACCAGGCTGAGTTTAAAATTAAATTAGCTTTGATTCTCCTGGCTTTAGTTTTATGTATATTGTCCTAAATATCTACACTGCCTGTAAATGCTTTGCTCTTTTGCTGAAGACTGTGTCAAATCCATTAAAAAAAAAAAAAGTGTTTTTATCTTGGGCCTGGGAAATATTTAACAGTTTCAGGCTTCAGCAGATAATTAACTTTTAAATTACACATTCTGTAACTTTGCTGGAATAAAAGGTGCTGCCTTTATATGACCCTTCTGTAGACAGAATGATGGAAGTCGCATTTCTTGACACTCATCACTGTCAAAAGTTTTTCAAGACAAGATATAGACAACCTCTTAATATCATGAAGTTTCATGTGATTGTATATAGTTTACGTCTTACTTATGAACCTAAAACTTCAGGCATGCAAATGGCACCATGTGTGCAGTTTTTAAAAATCCACGTTTCAAAGGACTGCCTGTGAGATACTTAAAAAAAGATCATTTTAAAACATTTTGTCACCAACAAATAGTTTGAATTCATGTCAACTGCAGGAATTATAAATGAGTCAATTTAGCAATTTCTGGGGGCCTTAAATAGTTAAATCACAGCAACTGAATTACTGATTTTGATCATGCTCAGGACGTTCTTGAGTTCTTCTGCTAATCTCATGCCACTACGGACAGTCACCTAATTGTTATTTTACACCAGCATGACCACTGTAGTTGTGTTTCTGGAGCTCTATACACTTACAGCACATCTGTATGCTTCAAGGGAATCTAGTCTTAAAGGACAGAGAAGATTTTCATTTGATTTTTATTATAATTCTGCTTTCATTTGACCATAAAAATCCAAGAGGTGTAAATGGAAGTCTTACAGGTATGATCATACACAGAAAACTGCATGTTTGAAAGTATGGGTGAGGTTTCTCGGGTCTAGAATCAAAGGGTTAACCTTGCTTTTTCTTCTCTCCCTCCCCTCCTCAGAGATAAAAGACACCAAACTTCCTACCTCTTGTTGCAAAACACCCTACATGTCTGTTGGGTAACTCAGCTCTTACTGCTTGGAAGGGGGTAATTTAATATCAGCTTTACCTCGTTATTACTCTGATTGCTTCAAGTCAGTGGTACTGCCTCAAACTGGTTCAAAAGGAAGAAATGGGCTCAACAATTCCTAATCTGATGAGAGCAAAACCAGCCTGACAAAATGACAACCAAGGGCTAGGAGCTGGCCTCTTCCTGAGGTTCATTTCAAAAGTGGAGTAGACCCAAAGTAACATGTCCTTAACTTCAAATTTCTCAGGCAGAGGGAAAAAAGAAGCTCAGCCTGCTTTTTCCACAGGTCCCAAGTTAGCCCAGGCCTGGAGAATGGCAAAATCATCCCAAACTATCCCTGAGCATGTGGGGCACATGGCACATATTAGGAGAGCTTCCATCCGGGCTGGTGGTGCAGCCACCTCACCCTTGGGCACAGAGCAGGATTTCAGCCCCCCAAGGGAGGTTGGCCCCACCTGCCCAGCACAGCCTGCCAGTAACACCAAATCCACAGCAAACTACCCAACCCTGTGGCAAATTTCGGATTTCCCTGCACATTTAATGCATGGGGTGGGTGAGCGTGCAGATAACAGGCATTATTCTGAGCTTGGTAATAAGGAGAAAGCAAGGAAAAGGGGAAAAAAAAAAGTGTTTGGAAACAGTCTAAAATACTTGTATGAACTTAGTTTTGTGTGCCCTACATTTTGGCTGGAATCTCTTCACCTTTCTGGAGGGCCTATGTCAGTAAGAAATTTTTTGAAAGGGCAGAGGGCTATTTAAAATCCTGTGTCCAAATCTTGTGCTGTAATCTCCTGAAAAGTCATGTTTATCCTTTCCTTCAGAGCAGATGCCTAATGACACAGAATAACATTTCACAGTCTGACATAAGAATAGATTAGGCTGCCCTGTAAAGCACTGGATTAAAAAAAAAAAGTACAAGCTGATTGACTCATTCATGGCCTGTGGCCATACAAATGCTTGCCAAGTTGCTTCTAGACAAAGTTGTGGCACCTTCACCACAGAAACAAAGGGTGGTGTGGCAAGCAGAGCTTTCCTTCAGGACTCTTGTGAAACAAACACGTACCCGTGAAAATGCATATGCAAAAGCAGTGTTTGTAAGGAGCTATGTTATTACACTTCCGTAATCACATATTCCTCTCCATATGACCAATTTCTATGAAACTGTAGAGTAATTCAGCACTAAAATAAGTGCTTTTCCACAAATTGCTAAAACTACACGTACTATACCCAAACCATCGTGGAGTCTGGGCTTGCTTTTGTGAAAATATCTTGAATTTATCTAATTTTAAGGAGTTCCTTGCACTCCGTTGCTGTGACCATGCCACGACTTCATGCTGGTTATGCTATCCGTGCCATAAAACAGCCACAGTAATCCCTGAACCTGCAAATACGTGTGCTGGAAAGGGAATTACAGCTCTGCCCTCACAGGCTTACCCAGGCCAGCTTCGAGCTAGCTACCTGAGGTACCGACAGCAGGGAAACCAGCCTCCGGGAAACATCTCATTGCCTGTTCTGGCCCCAAAGCCCGTCTTGCTGCAGCTTCGTGCAGCTGTGCTTCAGCCGCTGGACTGCACAACCACATCTGCCAGCCGTGTAGGGCACAGATAGGGTAATGCCACTACCCTCACAGGAGGGTAAAACGATGAGCCAGGACTTAAACCCAAGGCTTTTTCATTAAACCAACCCCTGGCTTCGCAACAGTCTGGTTCCTTGTCCTTTCAGTAGTTTGAATGTAGTGACTGGAAATGTAAATCCAACCAATTCTGAAAATTCGTGCAGTTGTAGCAGTCAGTGGTCACTGATGTTATCTGCACTGTGGGGAAATACGCCGAGAATGTCTTGTGGCCAATATTTTTCCTATTTGATGACCACATGATTATTTTTGGTTAGCTGCTACTATTTCCTTCTTGAGTCATTCCTGCAAGGCACTGAAACACTGCAGCCAGCAGTGACTGTGAAGATCTCTAAATTAGATTTGCAAACCCTCATCGAGAGCATCCTCTGCTGAAAGCGCCTGCATCCTGCGTTTTGGCACTGCGAATGCTCCCCGTGTTTGGCATCTCGTTCAGCATCGCTGAGGCTGGAAGAGCAGTGGGAGAAAGCTGTCAGGAAGGAAAGGGAAAGGAGGGAAGAAACGCCAGCCTTGTGCACAGGGGGGAGATGATCTGCTCCTGGCCGGGTGGAGCTTGGCGCTCCCACCCATCCCCAGCAGCTGTCAGATCGTTTTATGGGGCCATCTTTGTAGCATCCGCGTGAGTACGGTGGGGTTGCCTGGCTCTTCTGAGCACACTCTCTGCTTCTGACTTGGTCATGTCCTGAGCAGGCTGTTGCAAAACCCCGCAGACTCCCCAAAATGACTCATGTCTGCAGGCATGGATGTCTGCACAGCGGCGTGGAGCTGCGCAGGAAGCCTGGGGGCCTGCCGCCTGGCACCACGCAGCAGCTTGCTCGCTAAAAGGAGCATCTCAGTGGAGCAGCCAGGGGCTAGGGGCTCTGCTGGCCAGCTTCCACGTGACGTTTAATGGTTTCACCATGATCCCACAGCACCGCAGGGGCTGCCCCTGTGAAATAAGTCCCCACTCGCACCTGCAAGTAATTCCCCCCAGGGATGTGTGGTGCTGGAGCGTGGTCTGCCCTGTACCCCCAGCTCCCCGGACTTTGTGGCATATTCTGAGCTGGCTGGTTTGAGACCCACGGTGTGCAAGACTTGTCCCGCACACAACATCCTACCCCGGGAGAAGTAGCTCATACATTACTCATACATAATTTCAAAACTGTGGGTAAACTGGATGGTTTCTTGCTCCCGTAGACATATGACTTCATCCTGTCTGTCTTGCCGACTTGCTACACGAGCGCTGCCAGATCTGCATGACGCTTCTGTGTGCTCCAGCGGCAGCTACGCGCTGCCTTATCGCCAGCTGAGCACGAATTCCTGCCTTATCACCTGCTAAGCTGAAGGATCAGTGCATGCTGAAGTGGAGGAGCTGTGTGGGATCTCATGTTTGGTATCTGCCGGTAAATTAACCGCAGCCAGTTCCAATAACCTGGCTTTTCTTAAGATTTTGTTTTGGTTTATTTTACTTACCATTATTTAAACAAACAACGACAACAACAACAAAATGATTGGTATGACTAAATCAAAGCCTTCAAAAGCCCTGCAGACTAGTACAGTAACCTTTGCTGTTACTGTCACTAAGGGATATGAAAACCTTATGCAACCCAGTCCATTTGGAGCCCTACAATTTACACTCACTAAATTCCTAGCACCAGAACTATGAACAGAAATTGTTGCCTCCTGCTTTGTGTGCTTCCTCACTCTGCTTCCTAGCACCTCTTTCCAAGCCTGTATTGAACGATCGCTTTACTTACAGAAGATAACATCTATAAGACTCGTCTGGATTTTTTTTAATGTTTGTTCTCCTGTCATTGCATCAAAAGAAAATAAAAAAATAATTACAAAGCAGCTGCTGACAAACTGATATTGAAAAATAATAGATAAATTTAAACATCTTTCACACTCAGTAGCTGCTTCTAGCACTCTGCCTTTATCCTCAGGCTTTAATTAAATCTCTCCCAGAAAACAGAATCTGCTGGTACTTGACCTTTGTTTTCAGCAGGCACAGCACAAAAGGCATATAGAATCAATGACAATGCACAAAACGCAACACACTCCAGCTGTCACTCAGTGCAGCACAATGCTCAGCCTTCATGTGGAGAGACCCCGGCTTAGGAAAGGATTCAAATAAAGCCACGACACTCTTCTCTAGGTCATCTCCTGAAGAATCACGACGGCTACTTCAAGCTGACTACACACGGTGCTGTCCACCAGCACACAACGTGAAATGCTGCTGCTAAGGCAATCTCTTTTTCTCACTGCATAAACTTCATCCCCCTGCACTCTTTATTTGCTTCCTTCCTGCCCCTTACCCCACCCCTGCGAGCTCTCCATCCTCTGCCTGAAGACCGTACCTAATCTCCCTGCTCCCATTTCTGCTCCCATTTCCCCTTCCTCCTAGCAGGGCAGCCCCCAGCCAGCTTCTCTCCTCCTCCTTTGTTTCCCAGCTGCTCTCCCTGCATCTTTTTAGCTTCTCTTTGCAGCCACAGGGCTCTTCACAGAGGTACTTCACACTTTTGCTTTCTTTTTTCTCACTGACTCCTTGCCGTATTTTTTTTCTTCACTTTTGCATTAATGCTTAGGGACATGGAAGTTAGGGGCAAACAGAACGGTATTAGTGATGAATAGCCACAAAAAAGTGAGTAAAATTTTAATTCTTGCAAAACTCACTGGAACTGGCCTGAAAATTAATACTTTCAGCTAAAATGCAAACTGATGTGAAGATCATTAATGGAAAGGATGGTGCTAAATGGCCTGGAACTGAGCAGAAAAAGGTTGTTGAATGAGAAGATGCGGAGAACAATATTGCTTCTGGCCATGTTAACGAGGGACAATAAGCCACACGTTAGATATATGCCTTGAATCAGGGACAGTTTCAAGTATTTCCTAAGACAGACACTCTTCTTAGCCCTCGCCAGGAGACCCATAGCTAGAAAAAGGTGCTCTTGTCCCACAGCACCTGCCTGATGGGCCTGTAGCATTTCCCCCCATTGCTCTCGTTCATTTACCCCTCTGTGAGCCCCAGAGCAGCACGGGCACAGCTTCTGTGGGAAACTCCTCTGCTTCCCTGAGAAAAGGAAAAGTTTTTTTCTCGTGCCTTCTAGAGCAGGGTCTCCGGGCACAGCCCACGGCCCCGGTGTTCACAGTTTGGCTTCTAGCTTAAGAGTAACCTGGGTATTATTTTATTTCAATTTTTAATTTGCTTCAGGTGTGGAAGAAGCAACAAATGCACGCTAATATACATGTATTTGAGGGAAATAACTGAAATAATATTGTAACTGATGTCTTGCCACCAGCAGCCTGCGGAAGGAGCATCACCAGGTTGGCTTTGGCGTTTTCAGAGCCTCCATCATACTGCTCATGGTTTACGCAGCCAAGGAACCTCCACATTTAAGCTGCACCCCACAGCCCGGGTGGGACTGGCCCCACTTCCATGCTGTTGTTAACCACGGGCAGGTTACCCGGGGGGCACGTACACCAATTCCTATGATCTCTGCACTACGCCTGAGGACCCACCTGGTGTGATCAGGGGGGGAATCGCCTCCTGCCTCTGCTCTGCAGCCACTGGGGAGCTGCCCCTGCCACCAGAATCACAGAATTTCTAGGTTGGAAGAGACCTCCAAGATCACTGAGTCCAACCTCTGACCTAACACTAACAGTCCCCACTAAACCATATCCCTAAGCTCTACATCTAAACGTCTTTTAAAGACCTCCAGGGATGGTGACCCAACCACTTCCCTGGGCAGCCCGTTCCAATGCCTCACAACCCTTTCAGTAAAGAAGTTCTTCCTAATATCCAACCTAATGCTGCCTGCAGCCCCTCCTCAGCTTCTGCACAAGCAGGGGCCTGATCCTGCAGACAGATGAACAGAGAAAAGGCAGATGTTCTCCCGAAGGGAAAAGAAAAGAGTACAAACTCAAGACACATCCTGTGCCACGACTGCACACATCTACAGAACATGCTCCGTGCTGCTCTGCTGCAGAAGCTGCCTCTCCAGGGCTTCCTTTCCTTTTGATTTCCCCTTTAATAGAATGGAGAATAGCACATCAGGAATCAAAACCTATGCCCTCCCCTGAAGCCCTCTGCATCTGACAGAACCCAGAAAAAGGCTGTTTTTCTCTAGCATTTTTATGGTAATCTATTAAGCTATTTCCAGATCACTTGAACCAAGAATAGCCAGAGAATGTCAAGTCCTGCGAGCGCACGGCTGTACCCTTCGGTTCTCTGCGAGACCTATTTCCCAACGAGCATTCAAGCCCTGACAACCACATCAGATGTCATCATCGATGCTGGATCAAGAAATGTAGCGTCCAAGACATCAACAATTCCCCCCCTCATCTGGAAGGAGGTGATGTGCTACGCCGAGACCCTCAGCTCCTTCGCATCGCATGTGCTCGCCACCGTTGTTTTTGTTAGTCTGTCTTCGTCCAGAGCTTTGACCTCTGATTGACTTTGAAGTTTACATACAAGGAAAAACAGTCGGGCAGCTGCTAAAACAAGCGAGGAGAGATCAAACGGTTCCGAAAGAATTAAAAACAAACAGCTTTTATCTGTTTCTTTTGTGTTTACCAATACATGAAGAGATACGGATAGATGGAGCGATACACCAACACGTATACATATATTTAAACGATAACATACAAAAATTACATTGAAGAATATTGTTTAGATTAGCACAGCTGAGCATTGAAGGATAAGGAAATTAGGAAAATTAGGAAATACCAGATTAAGATTGCTATGCTAATTTATTTCTGCCACTGGGTGTGATTATCCTGTGTTGTACAGCATGAGGCATGCATCCTGTGGGAAAGTCTGCAGTACGACTGTGTCATGGGGGAGTTTGTAAGAAAACATACGCGTGTGGGGAGGGACAAAAAAGGATTACACCAAGAATCCAAAATTTGCTCTTTTCCAGTGTGTCAGGGTCTGGCTCTGCAGCTTAAATGCAGTGCTTGAATGACTGGGGCACAAGGAACTGGACGTCCTAGACTGTTTATTGAGGAGAAAAAAGTGAGGTGTGGGGGGAGGCAGGACCCTACAACACAGAAAAAGAAACGCAGATTCTTGCCACTTAGTAACATAAACTGTGTTTGCAGGCATTTATTCCTTCAGCTTCGGGGTGGAGATATGATGTCAGACATGAGTAGGAGTCATTTAGTCCAGATCCTGGAGCTGGGAGAGTGGTTAGGAGAAATCAGGTTTTGCTCCCTCTGCCTTACAAAACCTTCCTAACCCTCTTCCCAATTAAATCTGCTCTGGAAATTTCATCCTGCTTTTGCAGTGTAGTTTCTCCTAATGCTCCACCACCCATTACTGCTGCAGTGTCAGTGAGAGCCCACAGGTCTTTAAAGCAGTGATGTTGTCCAGTCGTCCTACTGGCAGCCTGCCTTGACCCTTTCCTGGAGAAACCAGCAAGAGAAAATGGTTTCCGACAGTGAATGTTTCAGGGAGTCTCACGCAGAAACTCCTAGAACACAGGAAGAAGAATCGTCACTGAGATGAATGACTTTGACTTCCAAAGGCCCTATAAAAAAAAAAGGAAAAATGTTAAACTTCCCCAAAGTTGCTAAAGTATCAAATAAAATAATTCTGCGGATATCATACAAGTTAGAATCACAATCTAAAACAACGTTTTTGTTGCAGGTACAGCTCTAATGCCTCCTTTTGATAAGATCACCCCGGCCTGCACAACTCTGAAGTGCTCTGTGACTTGGGACAGAGGCAAACCCATCGGTGGGCTATCCTGCCACTCGACACTGCACATACAGTTCAGGTAATTTCCACAGCCAGCTAATTCAAATCTGCTGTTTGATAAGCTTCAATAGTGCTAACTTATTTTTGAAGGAAAACTCGTATTTTTTTCTATTGTAGAAAGATGCAGATCCTACTGAATGACAACTGTCTGCCTGTCATTCTGCCCCTCTGTCATAGATAATCCACAGTCCCTCATATAAACCAAAGAGATGGGCTTAATAAATTTCAAAAAGAGCCCTTTTGGGTAAATGGAAATATATTTTCCTATTTTTTTTGTTTAATGTTAAATTTCACAGATTGTTACAATGGACTTTGTAGAGCAGAGCATCACTATAAACAGAAGTAGAATCATCTTTTAAGTATTAGCCTCCCAGCTGAAGCATTCTGTATACAGCTATCGTCTCTATCTATCCCTTGGGCATAAAGGCAGGGGAAGAATTCCTAAAGAAGGAAAGGAAATTGCATTGGTCAAGATCAAATCGCAAGTATGCATAATTCAATGGACTAATGACTGGCCAACAGATATCGCGGCAGGAGCCTTGCCAAGACGTTAATTGTCCAAAGGACTGGAATTTGATATTTAACAAACATCTCCTCAGTTTGGTTGTGGAATGAAAGTCATGACAGTTGCAAAGATTGCTTGTCTTAGTTGAATGTGTAATGGTGAGTAGCACTGAGAGAAATCCTGGTTTCAGATGAAAATCCCCTCTGCTTGCTATTATTGGTAAGGTTGCTGCACGGATAGGAAGTTCAGCTTCATAGCATCAGTATGTGGAACCAGCACAAGGCTCCACGGTTATCTTTGGGGCTTGAAATTAACTCGGTCTCTAGAGAAACATGTAATCTTGTATAACTCTTTCCACTTTTGAAAATGTCAGGTTGCATTATGGAGACAGCCCTACACAGCACAATGAAGCTGATCTTGTGTAGAACAACACATCTGGACGCAGAGCTGTATTTCCCCATCACTGCATATAAACTGCCAGTTTTGCAAGACGCCATTCATGACCACTAATCTCAAGACATAAGAACCAACTTCTTTTACTGTTTTCTGAAGCAAAGACATCCATCGACAGTTCACTAAATATACTTCTGGTGAGTAAGATATTCCTAAATGCAGAAGACTCCTCTAATCTGATGCATGCTAGGCAGCTTGCTGTTCATCACCCCAGCACTGGGCAGAGTACATACATAACCAGAAAAAAAAATCTCTCCATATAGGACAGAAAAAAAAAAAAATCTCACTTTGATAACTAGGATTTTATCCCAGATATTAAGAAAACGTTGATTACAGTAATTGCTATCTGCACCTGTCTGCTCTTTGAGGGGAGCAAGAGCCTCACAGCAGCCAAATAATAGTTTTCTAGGGGGTGAATGACACGGCCTTCCTTTCTCACTGGTATTTCTCCTTTCCAATGGACTGAGAAAAATCCTTCCAAGCATATGCTGCAACATCTGCTTTGTTGTAATTGTTAGTGTGGGAATGATATGAATGAATTTAGCTTCTGCTGTTGGGTGAAGAAGGTTAGAGTGCAGAGGAAATACTTGGAGTTGTCCAACAAATATCACACATACGCTGGATTACTGAAGCGTGTAGGTGATCAGCATTTCCCATAGGCATCTAAAAAAAGTGATGTCCTTTTCCTGTGACCATCTTCATTTCCTATCAATATTCTTCTGAAATAAAATTTGGTAGCTTGGTGTTCACCCACAGCCTGTGATTGTTTCAGTTTCCTCTCTGTATAAAACTACACAGAAAAGAAAAAAAAGGAAAAAAAAAAAAAAAGTAATCCAGGCTGAGATGCGTGGATTTATTTCTTTCCTGAAGATCTTGTTATCTTTTTAATGATATTCCATGCCAGTGTTCTTGGAAATGAGTGTAAGATCAAATAATAATAATAAGCAACAGGAGCTCAGCCTGGAGACCGTAACACCTCCATGGACACCGGGGAACATCTTGTTTCTAACAGGCAGGGAGAAAGATGGTGCTGGTGCCAAGGTTCATTTTGGCTCACTTGTGCTGAAGAACTTGGAGAGGGAGTGAAAAAAAAAAAAACACAAAACAATAACAAAAACCAGGTAGGCCACAAGGCTGCTTGCTGCCCTTTATTTTGCCCGCTGCTGCCTTTCTCAGCACTCAGCAGCGATGGATGTGGAGGGGGAAGGGAACAACCACGGCAGCAGAGCCCAGCAACACGCAGACGAAACTGGAAACAGCGCCCTGCACACTGGGGCACGGCGACCAGCAGCAGCACCCAGGGCTGGGGATGACAGCCAGGGCACCGCAACCCCGATGGCAGCTGGAGAAGCTGCTCGGGTGCTTCCACAGCAGGGCTCCTCCGAGCTCCGAGTCACTGAGGCACTGAACTTATTTCCCTTTATTTACAGGGCAGAAACATCAAGAGGAGGTGTCCTAAAGGCCTGGCACAGACAAAGGAGGGAAACTTGGGTTTGTGAACATATTTCAAATGGGTGGTGATCTTCTAGCCTTAAAAGAGATGAATTTGTCCACTCTCCTTTTGGCTTTCCCTTACAGATGCTGGCTTGGGTCAGTCTCTGTGTGGACCTTGGCCAGTAGCTTGAACTTGCCTTTTTTCAGGTGCCTGGCCCCCTCCCGCCTGCCCACACAGGACTCTTTCAGGGGAGGCTGGGAGGAGCGGGCCTGCTCCTCCTTACGCTGGGTGAGATGCTTGGGCTCTGTTTCATCAGGACTGGTTCCTGCCTAACTGCAAGCTTTTGTACTCACCGCAGGCACCACCACCCATGGTAAAACCCCAGATCCTCACAGTGGTCTGTGAGGGAAATTACAGCTTGCCACTGGCCAGGCCAGATTCCTCAGTGAGACGTTTTAGACCAGGAGCGCTCAGAAAGGGAAGCCCAGCTACGCAGGGCCCATGCAGGTCTGAGCTGCCAGGCACAACGGGTCCCAGCTCCCCTCGCTTGTGTTTGTGAGTCCTCCCAGTTTTAATGTCTGACAGACACAATTCTCTGCAGCCATCCATAGCAGCTTCATGGTGCGAGCACCATGGACCCAACCCATGTAGCCTCAGACCTGTTGCGTACTGGCACCTGCTTGCTTTTCATATTGGGAACCAGATGCTTTTATCATGGACTTGTGCCTCAGCATGGCATTGCAGCCAATGTGCTTCTACTGAAAAAGGAAATTTGGGGTGGATCCACTTCTTCCCTTAGTTGGTTACTCTTTGAAGGCAGAAGAAATCCATCGGCAGGAGGTGATTCCTCTCCCTGTGCCCACCAGCTCTTGTCACCCACAAATCAGCACAAGAGGCTCCTTGTTTCAGTTTTCCTCTGAAAAATTTTCCCAGATCCCAGGATCAAATATTCCCTTACTGATTTGTCTCTCAGATTCTACCATCTCTTCTGCTTTCTTCCATGTTTTTCCAACATTTACTGGACATTGGCCATAGTAGCTTCTTCTCTCTCGTCTGTTTTTTTATGGGTATCGATTTGCTCTTGTGTTTGGGACGGAGGTTGCTGCTGTTTGTATGGTCAAGTTGCACAGATATCCCTTTCCATGAACTGTCTCAAATGAGGGACAGCAATTAGCCAAATACATAGCTATTTAACATACAAAATACCCAAGTTCTTTGGAACAGTCTGCTCCTAACTGTCCTAGGTTGCTCATTTAAAGTTGGGAGAAACTTTATAACTTTTATCCCCGTGGTTTATTTCACACATAGGGATGACAATCCTTCACCTCACTAATTTATTACGCAGAGAAATACACGTGGATGGGAATCTCTCAGGTACTGTATCAGTAAGAAGCATGGAAAAGCTGAGGGAGAAGCTAATAGGGAGCCTGGGTCAGGGGAAGACCCGATGCTGAAAACCTCGGTTCTACCACAGCATTTTCTTTCATTTCCAGAAAAAAACTTCAGCCCACCTCCCCATGCTGTGGGAGACAAGGGGATGACCAGAATAGGAGTGCTCACCACCTCCACCGATAGCAGAGATCCCCTGCTCAGGGGGGAGACTCCGCTGTGGGAACCTCCAGTCTGCTGGAGTTATGCACGCAGAAGCAGAGCAGACTTGGCAGACGGAAGAGTCTGTCCCTTAGGAATATCGACAGATGAATGTAAACTCAATTACCGGCCTTTTTCATTCCAGTCCTGTTACTTGCGCCATATACTAAGTGCATCAGCATCTGGAGTCACTTTGAACAACAGGAGAGAGCATTTTCCGGTGCCAGAAGTAGAATTTTGTACAGTATTTATAACTTGTGAAATGTCAGGGGCTTGGCTACGCTTTGTTTCCCACCACCCTGAATAATAATAATAATAAAACACAATAAAACAAAACCTATGCAAAAAGAACCATATATTTTTTTTCTCTCTCTTTTTTTATTTTGTAGCTAAATGGCTGGGAGCCATAGCCTGTAAAGCTCGAAGGTGTACAACCAGCTCCTGAACTTTCCTTACCGTTCTCCCTACCACCGCCATCTTCGCTATCCATTAACCCGGCTCATTACTGAAAGCTGAAAACACAAAAGAAGTAAACATCAGTTAACGAGGTTTGCACCTGGGGGTGGTAAACAAAACTGCTCTGCTCTTGAAGGGAAACTGGCTGCTGGGTGAGAGCAAATCTCAGCCCAGAGAGGACAGGTCTGCCCAGGGTAGGGAGTGTGAGCAGGGAATAGGAAGAATATTTTCAGCTTCAGGATTTGAGGCTTAGCTAGGGAATGCTGAGGGGAAACATCTTTTCCCAAATTTGTTCTTCCAATTAGAAATTGCACGTTTGTCTACTCCTTGTTTTCATCATAGTGAAGTAGAATTTGATACTAATCTGATTCCTTACTCCTGCAGTTTGGGACATTTCAGATCCAAGCTTTTGTTAAACGTTCATCCCGGGTTTTTGCCTCAAGCTGAAAGAATCGAGACTTTGTCTTCAACTGAGTGAATTGAGACTTTGTCTGAAGTGCAGCAACATGGCGCACGCTAAACAAAACAAGCCTTTGTGTACCATTGTTATCAAAACATTATAACACCAGGAAACAGCTACACATGGACTTTCCTTTGCTACTTAACTGCTCCTATAGATCTGCTGAGGCTCAACTCATTTTACTTTTCAAGCCTCCCGCAGTAGCCAAATGCTTTGGAAAGGAAAGAAACCGCCCATAAAACCTTTTTTTTTTCTTTACAAACTAGCAGTGCACGTATTAAAGGAGCGTGTTTCGCCTTACCGTTTCCTTCAGTTTCATCCACGGGGCTGTGGATTTGCCTTGCCCTGGGGAGCATCGTGGGCAGGAGCCCCCCGGTGAAGCGGCCCCTCTGCGGTGCCAGCCTGAGGAGCTGCTCGGTGGAAGAAGCGTGCTGCAAGGTTTGGTTTCTGCCGTGGAGCCTGCTCTCTCTCTCGGTGCTTTCCCCGGTGGTCTGAAAGAAAAGCGAGCTCTCTAGGAGCAGACCTCCCCGGGCACGCACCGAGCACTGGGTTTCCTTCTTCTGCTCTTCTGGCGCTCGGGTGGTGTGAAGATGGATGCCACTGAAGCCAGTGGAGCTAAACCAACCCCACTCAAAGGAGAATCGGCCCGTAGGTCTACAAAACATCTATCCCCATGACTTCACAGGCTTTTTATTGCTGCAAATACATAAATCTTTGTATCAACCGACTTCAAAGATCATAAAGCCCTAATTGTGTGTGCAGCCTACCAGGAATGGAGTGCTCTGCTGATGCATAAAACACGCATAGATAGTACACAAATACACGCAGCCCAGGCTTAAATTTAGCCTCAACCACACAAAAGATATCTTTATAACTAAGAATGATGGGAAGAAAGATCCCATTCCAGAACAGACGAACAACTCATTTTTTCACTGATCCTGGATTTGGCTGACCTGACTTAAATGTGACCTAAGACATTTCTTAGTGCTTTGGAAATTGCATCAACATGCTTGGGCTGGAGACGCCACAGTCAGGGGAAAAAAAAAATGGTGATGCTATTTTTAAAATTCTGCTGTTCCTTTTTAAAATAGCACACTGAAATGTAAGTTTTCCTATAGCTGTAATTTTTCAGGCTAAGCAAACTCCAGTAATTTCAAAGGCAGTGGGAACAAGGGGTCACTTGGGGCCAACCAGTACAAAATTAACTCTTTGTTCTTCCCCAGGAAAACATTTCTTCGTGTTATTATTGTTGAAAAGAGACTGCTTATAAATTAAAACTCAAAATACAAATGTGAAATAAAATGTAAATATAAAATAAATACAAAAAATATTAATTAAAGCAAGTTTTTTCTTGAAATACAGAGGAAAATGAAATAAAATATAGCAGTAGTGGTCTCAGTGGCATGTAAGAAACACCGTGAGGCGTTCAGCTGTGTATTTGCACAGTACCTATCGTTAGTGCAGGACCAGATTTTGCCAGGTGACAGATGTCACTGGGTAGCTGGTGTTAACGGGAGGCTGATCGGAGCCACGCATGCCTTTCAGCAGCAGGAGGCTGTGAGCCACACCGTGTGCAAGCTTGTTCTGACATTCCCTTCAGTGCTGAGGACTTTGAAGCCTTCCTGTAGAAACATAAAGATGAAACTCCTCAGTTTTAAAGGGAAAAAAGTCACCTTTCAGCAGCATGACACCCTCAAATGTCTTGCTCGAACAGAATGGATCCTTGTTTCATGCTTCTTTTGTGTTAGACAGCTAACAGATGTTTTATGAGCTGGCATGTTAGGTGATTTTACCTCATACACTTTATGCCCATACTTCAAGTAGCCCAAAAACATCAAAAACAAACAAACAAACAAAACAGAAATAAGTAGGCAGGACAGCCTTGCCATTGGGATGTGTTCAGCTGAAGGATGGACTCCCGGCCAGAGGTCTCACCTCTGGGCAGTGCTCATCCCACAGATAAAATATCTCAGAGTACAACTCTGTTCTCACTTGACACGTCAGCTGCAGCTCAGGTTTGCTGATTTCAGTAGGGACTCAGCTCCCATTTATCCAAAAGTCACTGGCCACCCCCCTGACAAGTTAGATTGTATTAGACATTAGGAGGAAATTCTTCATCCAGAGGGCAGTGAGGCGCTGGCACAGGCTGCCCAGAGAAGCTGTGGCTGCCCCATCCCTGGAGGTGCTCAAGGCCAGGCTGGATGGGGCTCTGGGCAACCTGGTCTGGTGGGAGGTGTCCCTGCCCATGGCAGGGGGCTGGAACTGGGTGATCTCTGAGGTCCCTTCCAACCCAAACCATTCTGTGATTCTATGAAGTCATAGGGCAGATTAATTCTTTCAAAACTTTTCAAGCATGGGAATAGCACAGAAAAACAAACAAATCCCAAGTGGCTTCCAAGTTGGTGAAGTAATGATAGCTTAGAGCTGGCAGAGCCTGGCCTCTGCAGCCTGAGAACCATGCTGGGAAGCCGGGACCGACTCTTGGGCTTTGAAAACACCAGCCATCTTCTGTTTGTTTGTATCTACATTTACGCTGAGATAAACAGCTCTCAGCAGAAGAAAATGCACTTCGTTTGAGCATTTCAGCCAAAGGACAGCAATTACAACAACGAGGCACTCCTTCCCCTACCTTCAAAGTATTTGTTAGTATCAACAGCTGACCTGAGACCAAGGCCTGAGGTGTAAATGTCTTCCAGCTGGGCCAACTCAGTGTGGCAGAGATCTGCTATTTGGGTGATGTGTTATGAAATGCTGCAGTATTCTATAGCTAGAGCATTTTTGTCTCATTAATTATGGAATAGAAATTACTTGGATATACTGCAGTGGTGGTGGAAAGGCCTTCTTGAGGAATGAGCTTCTTTGTGGTGTAGTATCAGCGTGAGTTCAGTGGATAGACCAGGCACAAGGAACCTCCAGTTTCAGGCCATCCAAAGAGTCCAGCAGTGCTTTATGGAAGTTTTCCAGTTCCTTAGTGGTCAGCAAATGTGTTGCCTTACTAAATCACACAAATCTTTAATGGTATTTCAGTGTACACAGCCGTGAGCATGCATTGTTTCTAGGGAAAACACAAGTGTAAGGAATGAAGAAAAAAATCCTTGTTGGTCTGGAAGGATCATGAGTGCAACGAATGTGCTGTAGCTACAGCTTACAGTAGGTCCTCACGTTAATGCAGACAAAACCAAAGGAAGCCGCGTCCATTGCTCCTGAGATTTTAATGAGTTGATCGTGCAGAACCCCATGAGCAAAAAATCTGTTCTTTGGCTTTAGAAACAGTGTCTGCAGTTTATAAACTATTCTAAAGAACACTTTTTCAAGGCTAAGTCAAACATAATTTTATTACACGGTATAATAATGCTAAAGAAAATTTTTAGAAAAGAACAGCGTGTTTGATTTATGCAGTGCCTTTTGATTTATGTGGTCATGTGTTTTGAACCTTGCTAGGGTCCAAAGTTCATAGGGAGCATTTTTTCACCTTCACATCTCAGCACAGATTACCCAGTTTACAGCAGTGAGAGTCAGTGTAGTCCATGAGACGCAGAGAATTAAGAGTCAAGACAGTTAACAGCATTTAATGCTGCTTTTATGTCCTTGGCAGAGCTGCAGCGAGCAATTCCACTGGTTTTAATTCAGTTTTTATGCCAGTGATACTTGACCCCTTTTATAACGTACTTTAAAATCTGTGGTTGAAATGTGCAACATAAAGGTTAATTGTTCATTTTGTATCTGTTGATGATAAATCTCTCCCGCTAAAGGGAAATAAAACTAATGTCTTCATCCTTGTTTCTTCTTTTAACTTTTTAAGTATTTCTAAATTTTCATCACGGAATTTTGGGTCTAAAAAAACCAGCTTAAATATTATTCCATAATTACGTTTGTGAATGACCCTAACTGGTGCAATGAATTAGCTCAATAAAACTGTTTGTCACATTCCAGCTCTGCTCATAGATCCTATGTTAAACACTTTTCCTAAAATCTGATCACCTCAGGCCATGGCTATTTTGAATGGTGTAATCTGAATGGCGCCACACCACCACTCAGTTGAGAAATATGCAAAGAAAAAAAAAAAAAAAAAAAAAAAAGATATTTTAAGTAGCTGCAGTCTGGGGACACAGGAGATTTGGCTTTAAGACTTGTAGTATCAGATCAGAAGTCTGCAGTCCCATTCTGTAAAACGCTTTGGTAAAAACTCAGGATTTTAGCTGAAATATGTTTGAAATGATGTTAACTTTGTACAGGTGCTTTGGGGCTTGTTCTGATACTGTTGGTGCTTGACTATTGTTGGATCTCCCCAAGAAGCATTCACGGTTCTTCCATCAGACACTTCCCAACTTCACGTTTCCATCTCTAGGTCACTGTCCCTGGTATCCTTTGGTGGGAGATTCAAGCCAGAGCCTCTTCCATCTGTGTGCTGCAGCCCTTCCTTGCTGCCCCTCTGGCTTCACCTCAGGTGTCTCACTGTGCAGCTTTGCTTTCAGTCTCCTTGCTGCATCAGCCGCGATCCATCCTCGCTCCTTCACGAGGAGGCTGGCGAGATCCAGAGAGGGTGTATCAGCAATTTGAGGGCAGAATGTCCGGGACTTGCCTTTGAGCCCCAAACGATGTCTTCTCAGAAGCAAAAAGGGCAATTCAAGGGCAGTGACTGGACTGGCACAGAAGATGCAGCCACAGGGAGCAAGGGTAGGCAGGCAGCACCTTTTCTGCCCTCCTTCAAGACGAAAATAAATAATAATTAATCTTCAGAGCCAAGTAAGGAAGCCTGTCTGAGGGCTCATTTCTGCTTACATTTCTCTGTTTGTTTGTTTGTTTTACCTTCCGTGGGGCATGCTGGTGCTCCGGGCAGGTCGCCAGCTCCTCCGAGCTCCGCCAAGCAGCAGCAGCCTGGCGCTGGCAGGCAGGCAGCGTCCTGCTCCCAGCCTTACAGCAGTGCCCCAGGACAGGGCTGCACGACTGAGAGGCGGTGCCAGGGGCCTCTGCCGAGCACGGAGGGAGCCCGGGAGCCGGCACCGAGCCCCGGACGGGTCCCTCCGCTCCCCCCGGGCCTCCCTCGGCCCTCAGGGCCCGCAGCCGCGGGGCCGGCAGCGGGGAACGGCGGGCGCGCACCGCTGGGCGGCACTGCCGCCACGCCGGGCATGGCGGGGAGCGGGCCCTGCAGGGCTGAGGGAGAAAGGAGAGTGAGAGAAAGCGTTTTAGGCAGAAAGTTCCTTAAAGGTTGATTTCACAGAATCACAGAATTTCTAGGTTGGAAGAGACCTCAAGATCATCGAGTCCAACCTCTGACCTAACACTAACAGTCCCCACTAAACCATATCCCTAAGCTCTACATCTAAACGTCTTTTAAAGACTTCCAGGGATGGTGACTCCACCACTTCCCTGGGCAGCCTGTTCCAGTGCCTCACAACCCTTTTGGTAAAGAAGTTCTTCCTAACATCCAACCTAAAACTCCCCTGGCGCAACTTAAGCCCATTCCCCCTCGTCCTGTCACCAGGCACGTGGGAGAACAGGCCAACCCCCACCTCGCTACAGCCTCCTTTAAGGTATCTGTAGAGAGCAATAAGGTCACCCCTGAGCCTCCTCTTCTCCAGGCTGAACAAGCCCAGCTCCCTCAGCCGCTCCTCGTACGACTTGTTCTCCAGGCCCCTCACCAGCTTCGTCGCCCTTCTCTGGACCCTCTCAAGCACCTCGATGTCCTTCTTGTAGCGAGGGGCCCAAAACTGAACACAGCACTCGAGGTGCGGCCTCACCAGAGCCGAGTACAGAGGGACAATCACTTCCCTAGCCCTGCTGGCCACACTGCTTCTTATACAAGCCAGGATGCTGTTGGCCTTCTACTTACATCGCAGAAAACTTCAAACTTAGTTGTAAGAAAGCCCATACATGGCAAAATGTGGCCGATACCACATATTTTAGAGCATTTTAATACATCTCCAATACTAAGGATGTACTGGTCAAATATAAAACTCCATGGAGAGTAAGTAAAAGGTTCTATAGAAATTAGAGGATTGCATACAATGTACAGAAGGGTTGGCTGGGTGGCAGCAACTAGAAGGCTTTAGACCCACAGAAATCGCTGAAGGAAGCACAAGGGCACTGCAGAGATGAAGAACAGTAGAAGTACAGGTAACAACAGTTTAAGTGGAATGCAGTTCTAAAATTATTGGAACAGAAGTGACTTTAATACTGCATTAGTTCCTTTATAGAAACAGCAGAAACATAACAGCGATTCAGATAGGTGAGAAGCTTCAGTCTGCAAACACAGCTCTACGCTAGGTAGGAGACATTTCAAGGAGATTGTTCTGATCTCACTTTTGATTCAAGGTTGCATGGGATTCCTGCATCTACAAACATGGCATAAACCTTAAGATGGACAAAGGCTGGCAATGGACTTGTTTTAGGAATTTCTATAAATATCTCTGTGCTGCATTTGAGGAAAAAAGCAAGAGGTGTCACCCCTGCTGATGAAAGGGTAAGTGCCTCAAAAAACAACAGCTGCTGCTATCAGGCATCCTAAAATTGGAAAATGTATACCATTAGCATCCCCAAAGTTTCAAAGAGCTGACAGAAGATCACTTTGAGTCACTAAAACTCACTTTTAGAAGAACTGGAAGTCCAGGGGATCTCCAGTGGCTGAGAAAAAAGGTTATGGTGGAATAATGTTTTAAAAGGTTTACAGAACAAACCAGACTATGTTTCAGGCTATGCATTTCCATCAGGCTTGTTATTATTCTGGGTATTGGCCCAACAGATGTCCATAACCTGACAAAAATGCTGGCCAAAGTGTCTGTGTTAATAAATACCAAAATAAAAGGAAGTAGAAGACAACTCACATGGATTTACAGAAAATAGATTTTGCTGAGCTAACCTGGTATCTCTTGGAGAAGAGTAAACTTAATTCATAAAGACAGTTTTGTTTATGTAATAATCAAGTATAAAGCACAAGGCTTTCATTTTGCACAATTCTTGATCAATAAACTCTAGCAGATTAACATGCTGGATGGTTCAGAAACTGGTTAACTCACTGTTTAGTCTGAATACTAAACAAGGAACCATTGTTCAGAGGGGTGTTAACGAGGGGAGCTCCACAGGACTTGTTTCTTGGCCATCATCCATTTTGATCTGTGATAGCAGAGAAAACATGAAATTATAATATTGCCACAGACACAAAGACCAGAGGAACTAAAATGAAAATAGGTCACTTATGTAATCAGATGGTAAACAGAAAGCAAGCATGGAAGGTAATACTTTATTACAGGTAAACATCAGGCTCTAAATCTAGGAATAGCGAATGAAGGCCACAGGAGTAAGATGGGAAACTGGACTTTGAAGCCCAGGCTCTGAAAAGGACTCAGAAAAGAGGGGCACAAGAGCTGAGCAGAAACTCCCGCTGCAAAGCAGACATAAAAAGGGTAATGAAATCTTTAGATGCACAGTTGGGCTAAAGCATTTACAGTGGTTCAGGATTTGGTACTACTCTTGCTGTTATGCTGAAATACTGGGCCTAGTTCTCCTGGGTTTAGGTCAGGGACGATACAGGAGCAAAGGGAAAGGGTGGTTTCTTCTTGCTGTCTGAAACCCAGAGCACACGAGATGGAGCTCCTGATGCCCCAGGGATTTCACTTACGGGCAAGAAAGCAGCGTAAAATAGGGATCAGCATGATAAAATTTTTGAGAACAGAGGTGTTTTTTTTTTTTTTAATCTATCTGAAAGAGGTAAGTATTTCTGAGAATTATTAAGGATTACTTTCCTGGAACTATTCAATGAACATGAATTTTTCTCATAGCTGGAAGCAAGTACACTTGAGGTCAAGGTTTGCACATCTTTCCCCTGGGATGGAAACCATGCCCCTAGCACAATTATCCTGAACAGGTAAACCTTTAAACGTTTCTGAGGTCCAGGATAAATGTCAGATGATTTATTTTACTGGACTTCTGAAAGTACCAGAGTAAAAGACTGTGGAGTTTCCCCCATCCAGGAGAGAGCATTTATTTCCTCCCTCTGGCGCTTCTTGGAAAGGAGGTGCAGACAGAAAGGGGTGAGAGTGGAACCGAGTTGTGCAACCAGCTCTGGGTGCTGGTTATATTACCTTCCATCCATTCAGAGCTCTTGCCCAGTTTGCTACAGGGCCTCAGTACAAGCACCTTGGAAACAAAATCTGGCAAGAATAAGAAGTCGTTCTTTTTCTAAGGGTTTCTTCAACCTCAAGCACCCCTCCCTCCATCCTCGCGTTTAGCTGCTGGACTGCTTTCCCACCGAGCAGCTAGTGCCAATGCTTGTGTGCGTCTGTGCATATGTGTTTATGTGTATGCAAGCCATCCACATTGTCACACCTCACTGCCATATGGTTATCCTATTTATTTTTTTTTTTTTACATGTTAGCTACAGCAGCAGAGACAAAATTATTGGGAAGCTGAAAGCACATAGAAATGTCCCAACCTCTTCACTGAGCCGCTACGCGGTTGCTTCCTGATGGTAGAAAAAAGGGATCTCTGGAGAGCACCCGCTCCAGCCCCATCTCAGCCTGGTGCCAAGCTGTCCCCGTGCCCAAGGATGATCCCTCAGTCCCTCTGGGCAGCCAGTGCTTGCAGATCTTCCTTCCCTGGCATCCTGCTGGAACTCCCCGTCTTATTCCCCGACAGGTGAGTGTTAACTGGTGCTCACAGTAGAAGGAAGCACGCTTGACCGTGATGTGATGAAGGACAAGCCCAGTGTAGCAGAGGTGGCATTTATTCTTGTGCACGCTCTTGGTCTGACTGGTTGCTCAGCAGCTCTGCTCCAGCGAAACCAGATAAGGTGTAGGTGGAAACACCGTTCCTCCCGTCAGCCGGCAGGGAGAAGACCAGGTAGTTGACTGGGGTGTTTGATGAAGCCAGACCAGACTCTCTTTCGACCAGTAATGATCGCTGTGTTTGCCCTTCTCCATTTCACGTCCATCTACACATGGCAAAACTGATTTTAGGAATTTCTGGTCCCCTCCCTAGTAGCATCTCTTGAAGGATTTTGTAAGCTGCTTAGAGTATCTGTTTTCAACTCCCACCGTCAACGGGATTTCCTTCCTGAAACCTTCCACTCACATAAGATGTAATATTCCCCTCATCCTCAACTTTATTTGGAAATTAATACTTCTGAGTCTCGTGCTTTTCCAGTTTCCTTTTGGATAACATGCAAGTTCCTGGTTCTGATGATGACAGCAGATGTAGAGAGGACCCAAGCAGCAGGACTATGGCTGTCTGGCAACACTACAAGTTTCCACGTTAGCTGGAGTTACCAACTGCAAAGCACCATCAGCACTTCAGAAAAAGCATTACTGCTTTTTTGAGGTTCCTACCAAACCAGACAGCAGTATGCCCGATTTTTATTTTGGGGTGCCAAAAACCAAGAGGACTCTTCTGATTTTCAAGTACAAAATGTTAAATAAAACTGAATTTTCTTAGAAGAAAAAATGGAAACATCCTTCTTAAAGGGCTAAGGAAAAAAAAATAAAACAGCAAAGGAGGGAGATATACATACAAGTGGGATTACTGGTCTGAAAACAGCACTGCTCTGGAAGCAGAAGTTTTGTTTATATGGTCTAATGTTTTATTTCCAGCTCACAGATTGCTAAGCATTATGACACTAAGAGACTTAGGACAGTATGAGACGGTTATGACAGGAAGAGACTTAGCTGGCTTTTTGTTACTTTGGATGAACAAAAGCTCTTGTAAACAAACTAGAAAACCCAGAGGGATTCATTTTGCATAGCCTGGACCTACCCTTTCTCTGGAGCTGCTGGGACATGGACTGCCTTAAACACACACACACACAAAAAAAAAAAAAGAATAGAGATTAACTGACAACATAATTCTTAATTAATTAGAACTTTATGTTAAAAGTAATCCACAGCATTAATGATTCCAGTTTTTGTAGCCATAGGGATTTTCGTCATGTCAGCTGACTGGACAGCAGCTGCTTTCAGAAGTCTTTCTAACCCAGCAGTGCAAACAGACAGGTTTCCTTCCCTCCCAACTGGCAGTAACAGTCCTCTCTGACTAACCAGCAGGAGGTACTAAGAAACCTGGTTAAAAAGAATAATAAAAGAAACCCACAACCCAATATGTAAATAAGAAGTGACCTGAAACCTCACGTTGCAGTCATGAGGATCCCACACTGCCAGAGCTGGCAGTGAGGGTTACTTTGAGGGTTATTTGCTGGCTGTTGGAGGTTCCCAGGCAGAGCCCTCCCTGCTGACAAACCTGAGGCTGAATCCCATCTCTGACTGCTTGCAAAATGCACCTGGGGACCCTCCTCTGATTCTGTTTCGCTGATGCCAACAGGAGGCTCAAGGGAATGTGAAAGCTGTAGAGCAGCTTGCTCACAACCATAACCCACTGCACGTTTGGTAGCACTGTGTAATATAAATAATGTTATTATAATATTAACACACTGTGTAATATAAACATAAATATAAATATAATCATAAATATAGTGAAAGATGGCAAATTATACTAATCTTTACAAACCAGCCAACTTGCCCGATTCCCAAATAAATGTAACTCAGTATTAAAAGCAAAAGTTTTACCATGCATTGAAAAAAATTAATCTCCCAGGAAAATGACATGCAAAGAGGAATATTCAGAAGACTAAAGTATTAATATTGTACTAAGTATTAAGTGCTGTATAATTAATACCTTGTAACTCGCATACAAATTTACTCCTGCAGGGAGCTTTGTGGGCACGTGGATGCCGCAGAATTAACTTTGTACTTTTTTTTTTCTTTGAGAAATGAGAGCCGGCTGGAAGAGGAGCAGCTAAAACCCTGTGTGCCTGCACAGCTGCAGAGTGCAGGTTAAGACAGCTCAAGGCGAGGACCCTGGGAGCTCCCCACAAGAGGTGTGGTGGCTCTCAGACATGTTTCTAGAGCTTCTGGGGGAAACTGGCTGTGGAAAAGCCAGCTGGCACGTCTCACCCTGCAGCACACACCTACCTGGCTTTCAGTACTTGGAGAGAACCCAGCCAAGACACGTCTGCTTTCACGCACGTGTAAACCCTTCTGGGGAAGTCGGGGAATTTATAAATATGAGAGTAGGTAGCTCAGTAAGCTCAGAGATTTGCCTCCGCAAGGCGAAGAGAGAGAGCTGCTGCTGACAGCACCTCAGCCTGTGAGGACACAGTGAATGCTGCACTAACTTCACTTAGCAGCTTGGAATTTTATTCGGATGAAGTCTGGTCTACCGTGATGTGTGTGGACCTGGTAGGAAAACCAGGAGGGGAGTGACTGTTAGTTCTGGCAGCTACACAGGGAATTTACCGTAAGCTGCTTTAAGCAGGAATTTTGTCTGGGTGAAGGCAGTAGTGACAAAACTAAGCACACTGAGGGCTCGTGCTGTCTTATCCAACTCACTTTAAAAATATTTCCCATTTCTAAAACCCCAGAAAGCTCAAACACATCTGTGACCTTCTGGCAACAAAGCAAAAGAGTAACAAACCGAGAGGAAGGTTCGATACCCTAGACAGATAAACCTCTGCAGACTGTACGCAGCGAAAAAAATGTAAAGCAATTTTTAAAATTCTAAAAATGCCTCGCATTACAAACATGACACTAACGCCAGGAAATCTGTAATTGTGGGATTTCTGTTTCTTACCCATAAGCGCCCATGTCTTCATGTTCACTGTCATTCTACAGCTAGGTGCAGAATAAATATCAAAATATCACAAGAAACATTAGCCAGCACTGATATGTTTATTTTGATGGGATTCACCACGCTTACTGATAACAACTGCAGGAAGCATTGCAAAGTAAAAAAATAAATAAATTACCATTGAACTTCACTCATCAAATCATGCCAGTGCTACGAAAGCAAAAGAAGAGAAAACAAAAGAAGCCTTTGGGAGGTTTGAATTTAATTGCTGATATGAAAGTGCCACTTGTCCTTTTTCCCATCTATGACTAACGAGCCGGGGGACAGATCTCTGTAGAAAGCCCGAGTGCTTCTTTTGTGCAAGTCAAACAGGGAACAACAGGGGGAACTGTTTTATATCCCTGTAGTAAGCGAGGGGTGGCAGTACAAGGAGAGGGACCGTATAGGTGCGCAGTCTCACCTAGGTTTCTAAGCTCCTTCAAAGTCGATGAGGGGAGATTCAGGTTGCCTTCTGAAGGTGTTCGGTTTAGAATGGGATGAAGCCAGCCCTGACCAGATATTTTCACCGTCTGTAAATAAAGGTAGATAAGAGATTAACTTTTAGATGGCTTAAGTTAGGCAGGACTACCTCCTCTGTAAGTAAGCCCTATTTAAAAGGATTATTTCACTCTAGACTGTAAAATTATTGACTAAATTACGTGTTTGGCAATGGAGAAGTAATTTAGGAGTACCGGATCTAAGCTGTGTCTTAGAAAACAACCAGGAGATGATGGATGAGCCAGAGCACAGCTGAATGTTTTATTGCACAGTCAGTTGCAGGCATGCTTTTCCATTTTATGGAGGTTGGTTTTCATTCAGTTTTGCATTTTGAAAATATTTAAACAGAAGGCAGTGTTCCATTTGTATGACACGTGGAAATTCTTTACATTTAGTCAAACTACACAAATCCAACTACAAGCAGAAAACTCTTCCTGAATCATTTAAAGCAAGCAGTTAACATGCTTTTCATTTTCCTTTTCAAAAACAATGATGTATCAATAACGCTTTGTTGTGTAGTAAAAATTAGAACTTATCTTCCCATTGACAGAGGTCAAAATGGACTGTGCTAATTCTAGGGAATATGTAAAACAGGCTCAATCATAAAAAACAAATTCACACTGTATGACACCTTTCAGTCAGCTACATTCTAGAATAACGCACAGCTTAGTTACTAAAGAGGATCCCACTGAAAGATTAGTGGATTTTGAAAATGGTTTTAAAATAAAAAATTATACAAGAAAAAAAAAACTCTGAAAAGGCTCAGCTAAGATGAATCTCAGCTAAGATAAATTCTACCTTACCTAGTTCTCCTTAATACAGAACTTAATTTTTCACAGTAGCTCTGAAAGTTTTAGAAAGGGGTAGTACTTTTACACAGCCTTGCCTGATACAAAATTAAATATGACAAATTACATTGAGAATTATAAAGAGGAGATTTCTTACAGACTCTCTCGTGCAGATGCCAGAAGTTCCTCCTGTTCAAAGCAGAGCTTCGGTGCCTTTTGCCTCTTACTGGCACAGTCTGCTGTTCAGGGCATGCTTCTTAGCAAAGGAAATGGCATCCCGCTGGGCCTTGCATGTTAGATGGGGTACGGTTGTCAGCCTGTAAACAAGAGCTGTCACTGCAATACCAAGTATTTTGTAGAAAGCTCCAAATACCAAGTATTTTATAAAGTTTTATAGAAAGTATTTTATAGAAAGTTTATAGAAAGCTAAACCACCAGGAAAGCCCCATCCCTGGAGGTGTTCAAGGCTAGGCTGGATGGGGCTTTGGGCAACCTGAGCATTAGGAGACCTGAATTCTGCTCCTAGCTCTGCCCTCAGAGTGTTTGCATTAAAAACATTCAGTTTTACATACTCCAGCTCCCCATCTCCATCCCTGCTTCTGTTTCATCCTGTACATCTGTTTTTTCCATTTGGAATAAATGCTCTCTAGGGAATAGCCCACAAATATTTGGGTAGTGCTCATTTCATCGATGCCTCGACTTTAAAGAGACCCTTTACATTATTACAATAATAGGGAAAGAATAATTCACGGCAATAATAAAAGGAGAAAGGTATAACAAATCATAAAAGACCATTGTGATTCACGCAGAAAGATGAAAGTTACTCACAAGGCTCATATCAGAATTACCCATCAGGGTGGTGGGATTTGCTTTAGCCCCAACAAAGGAAGACAAAGCTAAGTTTGCCATCAGCTCTTCGCAACTGCAAGAGAGGGTTAGTGCAATTCAGACACTTTGTTCAGGTAGAATTTAATGACAACAGTTTGGTAGGTTGGATCAAATAAAACCTTCTTAATAATGTTTAAAGGAAAAAAAAATACTGCTTCTAGCATGTATAAAATTGATAGTTTGTGAATAACAAGAAGTTAAAGCAGAGGGTTCTCTTTCATTGCTATTTGTATTTTTTTTAATTACCTGAAACCTAAATTTTGAGGTTGGATATACCGAGTTATCAGTGAATACTTTTATGTAACAGGCAAGACAAATATAAATACAAGCTCTGGTCCAGAATGATCTAAGATCACCTTTGCTATTAAAACAAAAAAAAAAAAAAGGTTGAAATTGTTGAGAAGTTTGCACTCATGGCTAGGAAAGGGGTACCTGGCAGCTCCTACTAGCTACAGTATTTAGCATGCTGTACCCAAAGGGGTCTTATTCCTTTTTTATTTGCTCTTTAAATTGGAAATTGTGAAAAAAGTGAAGAGATACGTAAAGGCGGGGGACAATGAAACCCATTGTGAGGGCTTGAGACTGAAGGATACCTATCAACCTCTGTGGTTCAACCGGGGGCTCGTCAATCCTTGCACAAACCATAATGCCACATTAAGTTTCTTATAAAGGCAGTCCTTTATAACAGGAGATATGACAGCTGATGGTGCCTTGCCTGGTGGCTATGAGCACAGCTAAAACCCAACACATGAATGACAATGCTGCCTAGCCAGGGATCAGAAAATGCTGCTTGCTAAACCAGGTACCTTTCTGATGCTGCCTCTTTACCTCGGTGTTAACTGACACGGCTTCCCAAAGCGAGCCCCTAATCGCCGCGTGAGTGCATGTCTGCTGTCAGTAATTCCTGATGATTGACTCTGGTTTCTCGCTGCCCGAAGTCGCACTTTCTTCTTCCCTCAAACGTTCTTTTGTTCTCGTGGCCTGTGTGCTGCCCAAACTGTGTGGTCTCCCCTTTCTTTCACTCTGCAGCTGCTTTGGCATTCTGTGTCTTCTGTTTCAGTTACATGAGCGGCTCCACACGTTTGTGCCGTGAGTATCGTGGCTTCAAACCCTGAAAGACTTTTATGTCCCAAAATGTTCTTGCTACAGATTTTATCCTGCCATCTGATGTGCAATATGGCACACAGATGGCACAGATGAAACCACCCTACGAGCTGTAAATGTTGATAGTCAAAATAGAAAGTTAGAAGGAAACATATAATGAATGTTTCTTCCTTTCCAAAAAAAAAAAAAGGCAAAACAAAAATAAGTCCAAATAAGAAAAGAGTTATTGCATTAAAACTATCAGAACAATTCTCATACATTCCCTAAGTAAAATGAAGCTCAAAGGTCAGGGAAAATCTAGCCTGCAATAACCGGGATTGATTTCGTCGTAACTAAGCCATCCAGGTTAGAATGATCAGATGCTATAACAGGCATTTTACAGGCACCTTGCTATGCTTTCAAATCTCTCACGTACTTCTTAAAGCAATAATAATGTCACTGTCTAAATCTGCTCAGGGATACATGGCAATATTATCTCACAGGGCTGACACTGCTTAATTCCTGTATATTTTGAACTGTACCAACAGAGTAGTCCACATATACAAGTAGACATATTAGAACATCAGCCTAAACTCTTTTGTAGCTATCAGCTTCCAAGTTTCCAGAAAATTAAGTGTACTGCTTAGGACAGGTAAAGCGGCAAAGGTTTAGGACTTGCCCACAGACCTTGATCTGACTTGGCAGACTCTTTTCAGCTCCACTTTGCCTAATTTTTACCTACTGTTGAGGGTCATATTATTAGCAAATTGTAAATACATAGACACCAAATAGGCTAATGGAGGTGCATCTTCGGAAAACCCACAGCTGAAGCCCAGCTCTAAGCAGTTCAAGTATGTGAATAGTCCCATCAAAACCAACTGATTTGTAGTTTTCATGTGACTTGCCATAGTTCCCCTCAGAATCAAAGTAGCCAACAAGCTTTATTTGGCAGGTACCTTGCTTTTGAGAACAGCTGTGGCATGACAGTATTTGTAAGAGGGTTGTAGGGTTTTATGGCAGTAGCCAAAGAAGTTGGTAGGAAAAAAGCATGCAACCAGAAATATATACTCATATAGGGGCATACAAGACAGCATTGTAGATATTTTCTATATATGTTACATGTAAAGATTCTTCTCTGTCAAGTTTGCTATGAAAACTGGATAATAATATGCCCCAACCTTTGGTCTCTACTGTACCTACACAGATGCACGCATGCGTTATTACAATCCTAATTGATTCCCATTGATGAAATGCACTGCAAATTAGCAAGGCATAAAGAATGCATTGCTCCCATCAAGGTAAAACAGAACAGAACCAATAAAGAAAACCTATCAGAAGAGTGGGATTGATTAAGAAAGAGGCTAATTCTGTTGAATATTTGAAACCATCTATATTAGCTATTAGACAGACCCTTGTTCCCTGTTGCTGGACGAAGCAGAAGTACTGCAGTGCCACACCACCTCTGTGCTATCTCTATTTTCTCCAAGAAGTAAGAACAGTTTTTTCTCTATCACTTTTTGATGAAAAGTCTCATTATTTGTGGTAATGAGAACATGCGCAAGGATGCTGGAACTTAGTCTTTTTTACCAGTAAATACAAAAGAAAAGGATGCGAGAAAAGTACTGAACATCTTCTGCCTCTCAACATCACACAGCAGCAGGTTCCTGTCAAAGAAAAATGATACTACCACTTCTTTTTGTCACTTTTTTTTTTTTTCTTAGCTCTTGAGATAGAAAGGTAGGATACTGTGTGAGATAAGCCTGTAATACCTATGGTCCTGAGAGAAGAAAAAGGATCAGGGATACACCATCTGAAAAGGGAAAAAGGAAAAAAAGGAGATGGTTCATATGGTAACTTAATCAAAGGTAAAGGGAAGAAAAGGCAAAATCATTTTTCTGCAGTTCAATGGATATTTACCTGTAAAATGCCCTGCTGCAATTCTAGCCTCCTTCCCACGCTCCTGCTAAATCTGACCTTCATCTTCATGCACGCTGAGGATCCAAAGCCACTTTTCTGCAGACAGCCTCTGGCTCCACTTAGAGCTTGAAATGTTCCAGAACCTTCTCTATCCATCCCCTCCAACGCACTCAGACTCCATCATCTGTCTGCCGTGCCTTGAACCCGTTCAGTTTAACCTCCAACACAAATATGCTCACAGTGTCCTTCTTTATTCCATCTCCGGCACCCTCCCAGCTCACTAAGCCGTTCCAGCTTCTTCTTTACCACGCTTGTGCTAGCTCAATGTCTACCTAATCCCAAAACAAGACACGAGGTGGCCCCTTTGATGACAAATTGTGCCCACAGCCCTGGCAGGCCACTGCCACCTCTCCTGGGGGAATTTCTGTGTCCTGCTGGTGCCACCTTCTGCCCTCGCCAGCCATGGAGCCACCTTTGCTGTCTGAGCGCCCCACATGCTGTGACACCCCAATGAGGTCTATTTTCCCTTCAGGACAGTCCATACCTTCTTTCTGGCTCAGTCCCTCATGCCCTCACACACAAACGGATCAGTTCGGGCAAGTTTTAACCTTCTTAAGTTTCTGCCCTCAGTTCCTGCCCTCTCTCCCGCACACAGCCATCTGGCTGGAAAAGCCTCACTATGCCCCAGCCCAGAATCACGACATTATAAAATATCCTCTCCTGGAAGGGACCCACAAGGATCACTGAGTCCAACTCCTGGCTCCATGCAGGACCAGCCAAAAATAAAACCCTGGATGTCTGAGAGCGTTGTCCAAGCGCTTCTTGAACTCCACCAGGTTTGGTGCCCTGACCACTGACCTGGGCAGCCTGTCCCATTGCCAGAGCACCCTCTGGGTGCAGACCCTTTCCCTAACCCCCAGCCTGACCCTGCCCTGTCCCAGCTCCATGCCGTTCCCTCGGGTCCTGTCGCTGTCCCCAGAGAGCAGAGCTCAGCGCCTGCCCCTCCGCTCCCCTCGTGAGGGAGCTGCAGGCCGCCATGAGGCGTTCCCTCAGCCTGCCCTGCTCGGGGCTGAGCACACCGAGGCACCTCAGCTGCCCCTCACGACCCTTCCCAAAGCCGCCCCATCCCTACACAGCCCACCTGCAGCGTTACGAGCCTTCCCTGCTCCCTCCCTTGCCCCATTCCCTTTACCCTCGGGCTCCCTCCCAGACCGGGCGCCCCTCAGCCCCCTCCATCACCCCGCGCCCACCTCGGGGCTCCCCACTCTTCATCCCCCTTCCACCACCGCACCCTGGGGAGTCTCCTGGATCCCCCCCCATCAGCCTCGCCGCCCCCCGACCCCTCTCCTCCCCGCTGTCAGGGCAGGAGGGGCGGCACCTGCGGGTCCGCCCCATTCTCCTCCCCTCTCTCCCCTCCCCTCCTCCCGGCGGAGAGGCAGAGGGAGACCGAGACCCGCGGGGAGACGGCGGCAGCCGGGCTGCCGGGCGGCAGGAGGAGGAGGGGATTAAAATACTACTAATAATAATAAATTAGGAATAAATAAATAATAAAGATAAAAAAGTGAGGGAAGGGTGGAAGGAAGGTGCTTCAACTTCTGCTCTCCCTGCCCGGCAAGGTAAGGCGGGGGGCTACCGGGGAGGGGGCACAAAGGCAGCGGGGCTCGCTGCCGCTCACCCGGCGGCCGGTGTCACCCGCGGGCTGCCCTCCCCCGGGTGGGCTCCGGCCCTTTGTTGCCGTCGTTTTAGGGCTGGGGGGCGGCTGACCCCGCACGGATGGGGCGAGGTGGGGCTGGGAGGAGCAGGGGCTGGGTGTTAGGGGGTGTGAAACCTCCCCCCCATCGCCGGGGCTTCGTGCGGGGGGTGCAGGTGGCTCCGCCGGGGAGCCCGCCCGCCCCGCGCTGCCGTGAGGCGCCGCCGCCGGCAGGGGGCTCGGCTGCCTCGCCTCAGGCTGCCCGGGGCTTGGAGGGGGGGGTTGTGGGGGTGCCGGCTGGTTTTGGGGAGCAGAGAGCAAGGACACGGCCGGCTTGTTCTCCGTGAGGACAAAAAAATAAAAAAAGTGAAGTCGGTGTGGGCGCCCCAAGCTGGCTGACAGGTTTACGAGCCGCGCTCGGCAGCGGCTGGCAAGCTGGGGGGCTCTGCCTTTCCCCACCTAGTGCTTCCTGGCTGCTTGCTGAAGTCTCCGGAAGGTGAAAACTTTCTTCAGATTGTAGGGTTTTGGTCAAAACCCCGAGGATAGGTCGCTGGTTGCTGTTTATTTAGGCCCCGAGCCTGCAAGCGCTAGTCCGTATTCTGCAATGTAAGACTTAGCAGATGTGTCACCACCCAGTGAAAAAATATTTCCCGTTCCTTTTCCTTGTCGGTATTTTTGCTACAAATAACCTGAAGATGCGATGTCTTAAATGTAATCACATTTGGCTTCGAGTTGGTGACTCTTGTGACTTACCCACTGAGTGGCACCCGATGTGACTAAAGCTGTGTTTCACGTTCCTCATATGTCACAGATACCTTCCTATCAAGAGTTTTTTAAAGCTTGAAAGAAAAGACTGCTGAAGAAGAAAGTGTGGTCTTTAATTATTTTGACTCCTTAGGAATAAAAGCAGCCTATGCTTTTGTTACAGGGATTGCAGTGGCTTAGAGCTGCGAGCGAAGCGAGGAGCTGCGGGGCTCAGTTGAGGATCTGTGTGTGACACCAGGGAGGACAGGTAGAGGCTTTCTGTGCTGGTAAATGCTGTAACGCACAGCTACGCTTGGCTTTTGTTTGCCCTGGTTGGGATATGCTCTCAAAAGAAAAACAAGGGTCTTCAGTTGATTGGCAAGCTTATTGCAAAAGCACTGGAAAGATTGAAAACAAACAAACAAACAAACCCCCTTACTTGCTCTGAAAATATCAATCCTTACCATGAAGAACTTGCTTGTGAGTAGGACAACTGTGTTTTATGGAGCCTGATAGATGCTATTATCTTTTTAATTAGCTCTTTGCAAAGGAAAAAGGATCTGGAGAGCCTTCTCAGAGCTGCTCAGAAGTGTTTATTTGTTCCTCATCTTAATGCTTGTGGATTTCAAGCACAGGCATAATTTTTCTCATAGCCCTATTTCCCACAAAACTTCCCATAAAGTCAATGAGTAATCTTTGGTATGTGCTTACCTGTTTGAAGTATTGGGCTTCAAACCTTGAAGGTTTAATTATACATCTGCTAATACAGATAACAAATATGATGCATGTTTTTATTTAGCATTGGTAGTGTTTGTGGAAAAAAAAAATGGCTGAGGTGTTTAACAACAAAAGTTTAGTCACGAAAACCTATTTGTACATACCAATAATTTTTGTTAGATGGGTTTGGCTGTAGATATGTAACAATCAGAAATAGTGATGATGTTTTGGGAAGGCAGTTTTTAAGCCCAAAATATGAGATTAAAGGGAATAGGCAATCTGAATTTTAGGTTCAAAAACTTCGCTTTTACTGGGTTAGTTAAAATACGTGAAGTTTCCTAAGATCTCATGAGGGTGTCACAGACAATAGAAGGGGTAATTAGAAAGTGCCAAAAGTTTGTCCAGAGCTCAAAAACTAGGTTTGGTTCAAGGTCTGCTTTAAAAGCATTGCCATCGGCATTGATATTTGATGGTTCAACGAGTCATGTCCAAAGTATTTTGTAGATACGAGGAAGAAGAAAAATTGGAGACTAATTGCAATGGGATTTGGGGAATGCAATTAGTTTTTAAGGGAAATCTAGAAAAAGCTATGTACCGTGAAGCCTATCACATTATGAATGCTGGGCTGTTTGTTCAGTGGAAAGCTAGATTCAGTATAATGTCAAAAATACACACAAGGAAATTTTATTAGTGATAGCTTAAAAGAAAGTGATTTACTGCATTTCTCTATAATTTTCTATATTTCTAGGAAAACTTAAGTGGATGTAGAACTGTAAGGATTTTACTTTGAGGGGGGTACCCTGCTGTTTCTTTCATATTAAGCATTTTAGAGTGGTTTTTAAAAGTGCCTCTACGTTTTGTATGGTTCTGTACCATATGTTTTGTATTTAATTCTTTGAATGACCACTGAAGTGCAGCCAACTTGGGGTGAATGTGGCAACTGTTAACTAGTGCTTAGCAACAGTGCACAATAATCAAGACGGGAAGTGAAGAAGAATACCATGTCTAATTGAAACTACAGGGGGCATTTAGGTAGGTAGGATGTAATTAACAAAACCTGGAGCTTGGACATGATATTAAGGCATCACATCTCTACTCTTGGAAAAAAAGAGTTGTGAAATCATTAGTGTATGAAACGCTTCGGATTTTTGGTTTTAGACCTCAGTGGTAATGCATCCTTGAATGTGTGTATCTATCTTGGCCATGCTTGCAGAATTGTTTCTCACACGTAATGAAGAAGACACGTTTTCCTTTGCTTCTGAAACAGAGCTGTGAGAAGGAGGACTGTTGAGAAGACTGACAAATGAAGGGGTAATAAGCCTTGACATTCTGACAATGACGTCTTCAGACTTAGCCCCATGAGCTAGAGTTCATTAGAAATAGTAACTGATTAAGATATCTCAAATATTCAGAAACACATTACAGTGGCAATCATAAAAAAAAAAAAAAAAAAAAAAAACAAAAAAACCACCACACATTAATTGTAGAAACTCAGTGTTTGTTTTTTTTTTTATTTTATCAGCATGATTGACTTTTCTCAAATCCCGTTTTGTCATGACTTTCCTTAAACTACTGCTTGTCAGGATGTTTGTTCAAAACGCTTTTGCATAATATAGTTGCAGCTTCTTTCTTTCATTTCCTCTCTCTCTCTTTTTTTTTTTTTTTTTTTTTAATCCCAAACTTGATTCTTTTGTTCCGTGCTGTATTTTACATGTAGATATGTCAACGGTCTGATTTTGTGTCTTGTATATCCCAAATGCATCCTGTTACCAAGACCTCTGAAAATGTCCTCATATTGTAAGGGGGGAACTGGTAAATGAATTTGCAGTTAATCATTACAGAGGCTCATTTGCAACTCTGAGCATGGTTGAACTAGCAAGTAGGTAGTAAGGATAACTCCAGAATAAGAAGTCATGCTGTGAAGGTGCTTATAATGATGAATTATCCAGTAATATTAGACTCTTAATATTTTAATAGGGTAATTAATATATTTAAAAGAAAAAAACCTGCGGAATATCTGTTTGAGGAACTTGTGGGTGACAGAGACCTGGGACGGTGCTTATTCACAATGGTAGCAGCAAAACTTTGTGTGCTGCTGTGGTTAGCTTGGGAGTCACAAGCAGAAATACGGAGGTCATTATAGAAATTACTCTAAAACGTAATTATTTCTAATTTGGGTGACTCCTGAAGCCGTGTCAGCTGGTTTCTGTTGTCTAACTCTAGTTGAATTGTGGTGTAGCTTCTGCAAAATTTCTCTTGGGATGTGAGAGGCCACGGGGACTTGTGTAAACAAGTGTTTGAATTGCAATGTCTGTCGTGTAATTCTCACTGACTTGGCTTTTGAACTTCCACGATGCTTCAGAGGTTTAATAGACCAAAACCAAATACGTACAACATGTGAGGGTCTGACAGCAGGTGTCGATTAAATGCAAATTAACCAAAGAATTTGACAATGTTTAATTTCTTATAACTCGTTCTACTGTAATTGCAATAAAATGTCCATAAAATGGGAAGATGGCAAGAACTGGATGTTGTGACACAAAATCACCACAACAGTAACTTGCTGGTAGCAGCCTGAGTCAGTGTGACAAGATCTGATAGAAAACCTTCAATTAATATTCCCTAGGTAGGATCTTAGGTTATTCTGAAGGAGTTTTTCAAATTGATGGAGCTGTGAACAGCAAAACAGCGTGGGCAGACTTAAGATACTGTTACTCAAGAGATTACCAGACATCTGTCGTAGCGGTGCCAGGAACAAACCTGGAGCGACTCGTTTCATAAAACGTTGTGCAAAAGCTGCTCCAGGTCTCTTTTCTATTATCACCATCACCATCATCATGTAATTAGTCTTTGGTGGCTCTTGTCAAGACTGTTGGCATGATCTGAGCAGAGCACTCTGAGGCGAGTGAAGTTAGGAGGTAACTGTGGGCTGAAATGCACTCTCAGGTTACTGAATGCTCATCTGTGCACCTCACCAAAAGTAGCAGGAAAGTGCAGTGCCAGCGCTCAGTGGGACTGTGAGGTGTGTGCGGTCCTTTCCTCGTTGTGTTCCCAGTCCTGAGAGTAATTAGCAGCGTGCTTGGAAATTGCCTTGTGTCTGATCCTCCACAGTCTTCCTAGTAAAGAGGAAGTGACTGCTTTTTAGGGACTGAAATGTGGCACAGCATCCTTGGCTCCTTAGATTGGAGCTCTCTGGAGTATCCTCCTCCATCGTACCCACTCAGTCACTGGTGAAACAGGGGCAGAGTTGTATAAGCGTTATTGTTGCCTCTTTGTGTTATTAATGTCTTGGGATGAAGCGCAAACATGACAAAACCAGGTTTTGCTGGTCTTAGGATTGGGAGCTGCAGAGAGTGAAGTGCCCCATGCCCTGCCCAGAGCTTTGTGTCCTTCCATTATCGGCATAAAACTATTTTGCTTTTAGCTCTCTTCTTACTGTCTCTTTGGTGGTAGGCATTGGTTGTCATGCTGTCAGTTTTAACGTGTTTATTATTACCATCCCCCAGTGGCTTGCTGGGGAGCTTCCCAAATTTTGTGTTCCTTTAGAGCCTTGCATGGCTTAATTCTTCCATCCTCTCACGCTCCCAGTCTGCTTTTGAGAATAGCTGTTTGATCAAGGAAGCTTAATTTTCTGATTTCTTTAAACCACTTACATAGAATCAAACTCGTAGTGCAATTAAGTGATCCATTTAAGCACTGGGTAACGGGTCTTGATTTTTACAGCTCTGATGCCCTTCACTGCATCAAGAAAAGGTAAGCAGCTTGCTGCCAAGGACACCTCTGATGTCTGTGACATTTGGATTTTAATGTCTGGGACTAAGGCACACAGAACTACTGATGGGGTGTGTAAAAGCAGAATAACTTCCACGTGAGGGGTGTGCATATCCCTCATAGTCCTGATGGCAGCAGTTTCAGCAAAAATTGAAGGTTAGATTTTGAGAGATTTTTTTTTTTTCTCCTTTGGATTAAGAGTCAGCTCTCAGTTTCCAAGCCTCTAGAGGAGGGGGAAGATGACTTTCCTGCCAGATTGTGGATCTGGAGGGAGAAGGTGAAAAAACAATCATGACTTTAGCAGATGTGGGAAGCAAGCTATATTTCAAGGGTGTCGAGATGAAAACATGTTAGCTGTTGCAAGCCTTGGTGTTGAACTAAGGAATCTTTCCTAAACGTACATCATTTTCTGTTTTGTAGCATTAAATAAGTAATACTATTATTAATACACTTACTAAGTGCCTGAGTTTTTTGGGTGCTGCACAGAAAATGCATGGCCAGTTGCCTCCTTCAGAAAACCTCTAAACTGTGGGCTTGAGAAATGAGGAAGGACAACGTACATGCGTGTGCATGTTACAGAAAAGGACATGAATTAAAAATGTTGGGACCTGGTGTCTTAAAGGGTCAGAGTATTCTTTTTCTTTGCAAGTGATTGCTTGCTTTAAAATATACAATTATAAATTATTATTGTTGTTTAAAATTTGTTTAAAAATATTATAAAAATATTAAAAAAAAAAAAGTTTGAAGTAGTGTGTTGCAGAAACTGTTAAACAAAAAGCA